TTATAAACAGAGGGGTGCTCCAGCTTATAAACATCGGATCTTCTTGTTTTAAAAGGTGGATAAAAAAACATGGAATCAACCAATGGAATCAATTTTGTCGACTCATATCTAACCAATAAATGAGTTCTCGGTTATCATTCTTTATAAACAGAGGGGTGCTCGAGCTTATAAACATCGTATATTCTTGTTTCAAAAGGTGGATAAATAACAAGAAACAATCCGGGTATAAAACATTTAAAACTGATCTATAAGGAAGGTTATGCTATAAGGGAGTTAGTTGAATCATGCTATTGTCTAATAATGGTATGTTCCTATTTATGCCTTGATTAATTCTTGCATTAAAATTGGACAAATTCTAGTTTAAAAGTGCAATTCATATTTACACTATTCTGTATAATCAGCTGTTACATTGTTGTTCAAGGCTAACCACTTGGAGAAGAAACGTGCAATCATTTTAAAACATCGTCACTTAATGAATAACCCGATAATTTGTAGCGATCAAAACACTTCGAGCTGAAGCGTATGAAACATGTAAATGATGTTATATTAGAAGTAATTTGCATGTTAACATGTTCATAATAATACACAAAAGTTCTTGAATAAGTATCTATTGGTGTTTCGTTCTTAAAAATGTCCGAGTTTATTAGAACATTGTTGCGAAAGCGAATAACATGTCATTACATCTCTTTGTTGTGAGGTTGCGCGTGCAACAAATATTCTAGGTTAAACATAAAATGTGTAACTAGCCAGGACCTCTACAATAGTAAATACAGTCTATTATCGGTTTTGACCTCATATTTCAATAAGAAAACAAAACTTAATTTCTGGTGCATCAGTATTCATTGTTATTGTTTGTGTCGGGTATTTAAATACTCACCAAACTATGAGGCATAAGGTAATTATTATCAATCAGCAATCATTGAGATGGGGACGCCACCTACCGGTTCGACCCTGACTTAAGTCAGAAGTTTTTTTATGTCAGAACCACATAAATATTGGAATACGCAGCATTTTGTCTCTGTCTCAATAAATAATTATTCACTCGAACGTCTTGTGAAGAAGTGAATTCATACGGAGGTTAAGAATGCACTAGGCTGTTTTTAGCTGCTTATGGAACCAGCAAGGAACACATGTTGAAATCTGTAATTTGGGTTTTCCGTGCTTGCGACTTGACCGGTCGCGGGTGGCTTTGAATCAGCTGATGTCCACTAAACGTTCCTCTTCAATGTTCATTAACTGTTTTGATAACTCGCTAGATATAACACCAGAGGACAGGAAATACTTCTTAAATAGGTGAATGGAAATATATTATGTTTTGATGAATAGTTTATAAAGTTGCTAGAAAAGTAATCGTTAACATCAAAACGGACTTAAGTATCTACATTATTCAAAGAATTTGTTGGATTTTTGGATGCAGCAAATTAAATTAACACCTAAATATTTATTTTTATAGGCGTATTTGGCATAAATTCAAAGCTCTTATCCTCTAGATGTGCCTTTTGCGGGTTTGAGTGACATCCCGTGAAATCCCTTTGTCCTATAGGCTTTTAAAATTTCATAGTGTGTGCTGAATTCTGTTGTCAACCATCTGAACTTTTCAAGTTTACATTTGTTTACATCAAAACAGATGGCCATAATGCAATTTTGTTTACATCCATACGAAAATAGGGTTATCTATTGTTGGTGATGTTTCAATGAATTCAAGTAAAATGCTGTAATGTTATTTGTATAAAATGTAAAGAAGAAAATGACTTACGTTAGATGTTGTGATAGGATTTTGTGATTTCATAGTAGGTCTACCTATGTTTTTTTTTGTGTTTTAGGGGATTCAAGTAAAATATTGTTATGTTATTTGTTTAAAAATTAAAGAAGAAAATGACTTACGTTAGATTTTGTGTTTTCATATTATGTTTCTTTAGTATTTGTAATTTTTCTAAGATGCCTCGAAGAGATCGCGCACGCAATGAGAATAATAGGGCTCGCAATGCAAATAATAGATATATGATGTAAAATAATCGTTTTCACCCTTATCAAATATATCTCGGATTTTGAAAAAGTACTTTAAAACTGATTTTGATTTTAGCTGATCCGTAGATAACGAATCTAAAAGGGAGTATGTTCAATCATTGACTAAGGAAATAAAAGTTTGTTTCCCTTGTCTGTGGTTCAATCTAGGAAAGTAGTCTAATGAGCAAAGCAATCTGAATGAAGCAACGAGCACATGGAATGGAGTCGATAAGCTGAAGCTAAGTAAATAAAATCAGCTCAGTTTATCCATAGTAATGTTTGTACAATGTTTAGTATCGCACCTCAAATCGATAGTAGAGTTGTTGAACATGTTTAGCATATGGCTCGCGTTTTTGATCAGAGATTCTTATGTTTTGCACTGTTGTAAAATTTAACAAGCTGCTATAACCGTGCTTGGCAACGGGAAGAAAATGTGACCTAAAGAGCTATTAAAGTAATTCTGATGTGTGCTTTAAAATACGGCAAGTCTATGATTTAGTTTGAAAATATAAACTGATTTAAAAGTGTAAACCTACTTACTTTCAAACTCCTACTTTTTATGTTAATAGATTCAAAAGTATATGACAACATACCTTAGTGTAGCAACAGCATCAATTTCTTCATATTGATGCTTCACGAATGACATGTTTTACTGTACCATAATTCTTCAACTTTAGTCAAGCCTCTTTACATGTAGCTTACTATATAAATTACAAAATGAAACTTTGAGCAATACTTTACAAAACGTATACAACCTTTCTTTAAAAACCAAACATAACCCTCCTAAATCTACTTTTTCGAGTAAATAAACAAACACCAGTTCATTGTACTGACCAGCTGTTCCATTAACTAAATTAAATTAAACTTTGGAAGCATGCCAGGCGTAGCCCTTTGGAAATCAGCCTGTGGGGCAGAGCCCTTAGGAAATTCATCCATATCAATACTTTTCGGCAAATCTACACACTCTAAGCTTGACATATGCCTATATTTTTATTTGGTAAATGGCCTTAACAGTTTACATAAAATTTAATTGTATCACTTTAATAATATAATAGATTTTGCCACTTTGCGATATAATGTGTGGTATGTCATTTAATATACAATGAACGTATAACCTTTACATATATTTAGCTAGGTGGAAGCATAGGTTAAAGGTAGTAGGCCTAATATATTTCATCTATGTTACACTAAGAACATCTAGGCTACACTTGTACCTAAGGCTCGGCGGTTAAGTATTTCTAAGAGAGCAACACATTATTTTGCGAGCTAGCACAAATAACTATAGCGTTTTGCGAAATTAGCTTCGTAAGAATGTGTTGTGTAAAATTACTTGGAAAACACCCGTAACTACCAAGCGCAAGTTATTTCCTAAAAGTTCATTGTTGGGTTGGTTCAAGTTGTTGTTTTAGAAGCCATTGCGGTCGCATAACGCAGCTCTTATATACACAACAACATTTTACAACTTATGCAGAATTTTCAGAGAGGTTGTTTATAAGTTAGTTGCACCTACGGCAGAGTTTGTAACTAATCTTGTTATGTTCTTGGTACTATTTCCCCACCTATTATCACTCAACAACGGTTAAGACAGCAACGTAGCTTGCGTACATATTTCAAAACTGAATATAAGGGATATTCAATGGCTGTGTGAATGTAGAAAGTTAGATAATCTATATAGCTTTGTTACTAGCTAAACTAAGGTTTTTTTTACCCAAAATCGTTACTTACGAAAATCTCAATGACCAAGGACAGCTGGGTCTAGTTTCGAAACATTAAAAACTACACTTTTTCTCACCTGAAGAAGTGACATTCCAGATCACGAAACGTTGTAATGGCATATTGATTGGTAACCATGTTGGGAAATTTCCCCAGTGATTTATAGTATCAATCAGTTTTAAATACTGTACACCCAACAACTTAGATGTTGAAAACAGTGATAAAAACGTCAACGTTGAATGAAGAACCAAACTATTTCTATATGCGTACGCATAACGATTTTGTCATAAATTCTGAATATCAAAGTACCGATAGAGCAATAGACCCATAGAAAATATCTAGATGTCACAAAAACGATTGTTTTCTGCCAAGAGCATTACTATTGCAAACCAGACGATTTATTGATTCAGCTAAATATTTCACCAAGCATAATTTCACTCGGTACTAGGTCAACTTTTCTGCGCACTTGTCAAGTTAAAAACAATAATGTGTCAGAGGACTGACACAGGACATAGGACATTGATTTTGTAATTATATTGATTACAATGTTACGTAATTGATTTGCAAGAGCTTGCGATTAAAATGTATATGACACGATTGCAATATTATGATCCTATTAAAACACTTTTAAATTCAAATTATCTATGAATTCGTTTGATTTTTAAGTTAGTACGAGCGTTAATTTAATCCAGTAATGAAGTCTGTTAAGTCATCAATTTAGGAAATAATACTCTGGTCTACTCTGGCGTCTAGGAACTACAAGGAGTGATAAACTATTTAATTCCCGAGGGTAGTTTGCATAAGACGTACTGCAGAGATGAAGATGTACGATTAGTTTATGACTTGTTTCTCTATACATTTCTTGTTGATATCAGTTCGACTTAGGAAATACTTGGAAATACCTTAGGCCTACACTTAGGAAATTCCAAACGGTTATTCTTGAGAATGGCCTAAAATATGCGTACGGCAAATATAAAGATGTATAATCAGTCTATGGGTACAGTAGTGTTTTAGGATAAAAACTATTCTAAGCTTAAACAAAAAATGTATAAGAATTATTATACCTCATAGTCATCTTCTGCTGTGTTATAACATGTGTTTTAAGTTGGTGTTTGCAGAAAAGCTATTGAATAGAAACTATTGGAATTTGTTTATATTGATGAAAATTACGATATAGCCCACTTCAACACACGTACACCCGTTAAACCGTTGAGCACATTCCAGACAAATTTCATCCACAAAACTCTCTAAAGATATTCATAACAAAATTGTCAACATACCTGTGTAGGGTGGCGGGTTGTACAACAGCTGACGTTAAACGTCAACGTCACCGTGTGAGTGACGTGTCTGTACTCAGCACTTAGCAGTCAGCGCGGCGCGCACTCCGGACTGAACTGAACCACTGAGGTCAGCGCGCTCTCCTCAGCTCTCAGACGGATACTCGTGTCGTGTGGAGGGACGGTTCCCTCTCTACTCTCCTCTACCTTAGACTTCCGTCATCCGAGACCAACAGTCACAACACGGGTGTCAAGGTCAAACCATGTTTACACTAAGTGGAAGCTAAAGTAGTGTGAAATTTGAGTGGAGTCTGGGGGTTTCAGGAAAAATAAAATATGTGAGAAAGAAGGGTAGGGATTAAATATTGATGTTGTGTGTTAAAGTATTGTTAAAGAGCTCTTGTGTGGGTAGAAGTTAATATCTTTACACACTTTATTGTTGGTAATAATTAAGTCAAGATATACAACTTTGAAATCTAAGTAACAACAAAGATCAATTATGCAATGTCACATTGATGAATTAGGAATGTTACGTTTGAACGGTCACACGGTGTGCAAAACTCGATCAATAAACCCTGAAATGTCCAACAATGTATTTAACAATTGCATCTATCAATGTGCAGTGTTGAATTAAATCGAGTGTGATGTTGCCTACGATCGAAATGCAATGTTCCTTCCAACAATGTGAATATTTTCGTCGATTTATTCACAATGTTGATTTCATCCTAGGGAAAGATCTGAGGTTGCCTTAGATCAAGACGAAATAAATTGTGCGTCGAACAATATGTAATGTCGCTTTCCAACAATGCACTTTCCTGATTTCATCTATCTATGGACAATGTTGAATCCACCCAAATGAGATGTTGCCTTCGATCAAGTTGAAAATTGGTGGCCTAAAATGTGTAGCGTCATATCTAAATCTTATGTAGCCCTTGACCAGAAGGAAATTTTGTATCTAACCATCCAACAATGTGCAGTTTTGCGTTTATCATAATGCACCAAATCCACTCAGCTACACCGGCATGTCTCGTCATACTACCTTGAGACACATATCTTTAACAAAATTATCATGGCGCAATCAAAATTCGTTCATTAGGGGTTTTATACTTTCAAAACAAGTTGACCAAAATATTTCGAAGCTAATTGTGGAATGCCTCAAGATAGTTAACTAATTTCAAGTTATTCCTAGACCATATTGCGTAAACCTCATCTTGTGATTATAGCTTGTGACAGAGCTTTTGTTGTTATTGCCAAATATAAACATACTCACACACACATAGTAGATTTCCCATCCTTATGCATCAGTTGAAGATAGTTAGTCAGTAACGTCTGGTGCCGCTATGATCGTGTTTTTGTTTGCAATTTATTTTTATTTCTTGTAATTTCATTTATGTATATTCTCGCTAAACCAAGTAGAAGGATCTAATCATAAACAATAACTCTTCCCTAGTCGTATTACCAAACAGTAAAGCACAACTCGTGAAAACCCCCCTAAATTAAGTTTATACAGAAACAAGATTTTGTCAACACTACCACCCAGTGCCACGAACATGAACTAGACACGTAAAACGAGCTTCAAATGAGATGAAGTCTATACCATTTTAGACTAACCAACCTCAGGTACAAAAAAATATTAAGCTCATTTTTCGTGTCTAGTGTATGTCCGGTGACACTGGGGGTTAGTATTGACAAAAATTGGTTTATATTATTTTAGGGTTAATGTCATGATTTGTTCTTTACTGTTTGGTTATATAACTAGGGTACGAGTTTTTGTTTATGATTATATAGTTTATTTGGTTAAACGAGGTTTTAAAGGGCTGAAACAACAAGAAAAACATTGTAAACAAAACACGACCTCTAAAGTGCACCGGGCAGAACTAACAATAAAATTTGCTTCAGCTGTTCCATAAGGATGAGAAATCTATTTAAGAGAGTAAGTTTTGGTTTTATATATGTCCATACCTGTTGTAGAACTGCCTACTCATACAAATCGGCAATGTTCTAAGTAAATTATAACATGGTGCCAGAAAATAGGCTTAAAATTGTGTACTTGCGGTGTAGTACCTCAGTGCCTCCTATGGTAATTACTTTTTATGGCCAACTATTCCTCCTTGAGTTATATATACCACATTTTTTACAAATATAGAACCGATGTTGTGCAGTTGTAGAAAAACGTTCTTCAATGTTTTTGAAGAACGTTTTTGAAGGCAACTCTTCATGTTTTTGTTTATGTTTTCGTCTTTGTCGCGTTGAGTCTCGGTTAAGCAACTACTGTGGTATTGGTTACACTTTTGGCCTTGAGAATTACTCACATAACATCTGGATCTGTTACGAATCAACTCGTGCTTATTATTTTTCAACTATATAATTTCCGTGTACAGGGTGTCCCGGAACTCTCTACAAATATTTTAGAGCATTGTTTCTGGGTAAGAAATATATCTTAATATCATATTTAAATTGTATGGAAGTCCATAGTTACTCACACAGTCACCATTTTGTTTTTTCACTTGTTATTTTAATTTTTCTGAAAAGTGGTTAAATATACAAAATTGAAACTTTGCCCAAATATTTTAAAAAACTAGGCAAAACTACAACAAATTATAAACAATTAAAATCTAATCTTAAAATTATAATCTAAAAAAAAAAATTTCTAAACTCATTAAACTAAATGGCGGCCATTTATAATGTTGTTTCTTAAATAACTCAAAAATCGTCGATTTTATAGAAATTTTACAAGGTTATCTTCTTTAAGGGAATTAAATTACAAATCAAATGAAACCTTAATTTTTAAGATTGGACAAATATTAACTGAGATAGATTTAGTGATACGTGACCGCATGCCTCGGCATTCACTGCAACAAACCTAATGTTTAATCCTCCTAGCAACAAACCTCCAGTGGTCACGTATCACTAAAGCTACAATATCTCAGTTAATATTCGTATAATCTTAAGGTAACAATCGATTTGTAATTAAATTTCCTTAAAAAAGTTATATTATTTGTAAATTTCTGTAAAATCAACGGTTTTTGAGTTATTTCAGAAACAACATTATAAATGGCTGCCATTTTGTTTTATGAATTAGGAAAATTGTCATAATTTTTTTATAAATAAATACATTTTTTATAATCAGTGTCTCACAAAAATGTGAATAGAGTAATTTTAAGTTGCTAGATTAAACATTGGGCTCATTCTTTTTGTTATCATGGAGACCAACCAATACTTACTTCCGAACCGAAGCTAAAACCTCACGCTAACATAGATGTAACGGAGAGTAACGCACATTAAAATTGTCTGGGTCCAGCTGACCAAAATGGGTTTTTAAACTGCAATACAAGGGGTTGTATGAGTGTAAGGTTCAACCATTGGTTCAAACTCCTTTGTCTGGAACGAATATTGAAATAGAAACGGCGAGGATCATAAATTCAGACAAATGACGTCACTGACCCGAATGTCTCCAGCCGTAACATCTGGTTTGGACGGTTTTTATATTTTTATTTGAACATTAACACAAACATGTTTACTTTTGGGCCAGTGACGTCATTTCTTTATGATCCATGCCATTTATGTTCTTATATATATGATTTGAGTATGCATAAAAATCACTGTTTCAGATCAGGTGTTTATATAAATTCATTTTTGTTGTTGAAAATGTGCTCGTATAGTGTAATAGCTTAGGTCTTTGACTATTAATACAACACTAGACATTCCATCCCCAACCCCATGTTAAATTTGTAGCCAGTTTTTTTACCAAAATCGTCGTGGGTTGATGTGAGCCACCGACAGATTGTGCTGATCTAAATTACTGATTTCTGTCGAATACATATTATTTACCTACTCAAATTAATGGAATGACTTATTGTGAGCTATAGCAACTGTTATGACCCATCAACTTGGCCAGCAACAAAACATTAGGTAGAAAATATAATTTTTGGCGTTAGCGCATTCTGTGACTAGCTCACAAAACTATGTTTTTTTACAAAAAATTGAATACAGCTGGTCCATATAAATGGAACGTCTACTTAGGTATAACACAATTTCCTGGAAGTCAAGTACAATAGCCTGCAGAAATATTAGTAAAATCGTCCGATTTACATTCCGTCATTACACAATTTCATTTCTGTTGAGTCTGCATAGTCATCATCAAGTATAGTGAATTTGTACAAAGAAAATTCCAAGATGTCTCAAGATATCAAGAGAGTCAACTGCGGGAAGGTACATAGTCATGAATGTTTTCACATGCCTGCTTTTTGTAACAGTAATTTTATATTTCGTCATTCGTTACATATATGTATGAAATACACACATTCATGTTTATATTTCGATGACGCCAATACTGAAAAACTTCACAAGTACCTGCTGAATGATGTCTTGAAACATGTGGATTTTACCGAAATTGAGCTGTACTTATGGAATAATTGAAATGCAGTGTTCGGAAAATACGCAATGTGTCATGTTCATACAATATTCAAACGCATCAGCCTCTTTAAAAATGGTTCACTTTAAATGTTAGCACGGATGCGATGCAATAATGTCTATTTCTGCAATTTATGACAGAACATAATATCATAGATAAAACAGCTTAGTCTATGATAATATACAGTACACCGCTGGATGGTTTTGCCACAACTATAGTCATTAATGACCTTGCGATGAAATTTACATTTACCGTCAGTCACCTCAGATAGATTGCTCGGAGATTGTTACCAGCCAATCACACTAATGACTGTGCTGAGTGTCACCTTCCAGTGACCTTGACCTTTGCTTTTGCTTTGCATGGCTTGTGAGATATCGTCTTCGTATGCTTAGCTAAAATAGACTCAACTATTTAATCATCAAACAGCGTAGTTGTTATACCACAGCCGTAGATTTATCAAATTAACATTCTTCCAAAGAGATACTTAAATTATATTCCTCAGAAATTCTAATCAGGAGTTCCACCAGTTCAGTCCTTGGAAAAGGTAAGTAGCATTTTAGGGTTCTCTTGTAAAATGCAAATCTCAGAAAAGATGCCATGTTTTGGACTTGAGTTGTCGTTTTTAAGAATTTATGGACTTTGTGACTAATTAAGTTTGTGTGTTAGCTTTATTGTTGGATAAAGACTATCTACTGTATTTAAATTTTATCATATTTGCTAATTGTTCTAATTTTGTTGAACAGATTGTAAATTAAATACAATTTAAAAAAATATACCTTCTTCTCGACTTCTCAGAGAAACATATGACATAGTTCATGCTATAAATTGGCCCAATAGAACAGTTAACTTTACTCCTTTGGAGAGGGATGCTTTCCATCTCCCCTAAAACATGCCATTGTTAGCCTCATTCATAAGAATGGAAGCAAAAAAGAAAATGAATGAATGAAACATAATTTATTTCAAAAACAAAATTATTACAGAAGAATGCAAATTCATTGTTTGAAATGGATCTCCAAATGGGCTTGTGCCTGTGGTTGGGGATCGAGTCCATTATCAGCATAGTGAAAACAATAATATTTACATTAGAGACTAATTATTATAACACAAAATTACATTGAAAATAAATAAGTGATTATGTTTATAACAAGAAGAAAAACAAAAAGAACGTCTGTTTATGAATAGACTCTTGTCCTTTTGGATGAAAATAGTCTTATCTTCCCAGTTCCCACCATTTCGGGAATAAAGGGAAGATCGACCCTCGATTCAGTTAATCATATAGTTGTATCATTGTTATCAAGAGCTTTAGATTCTGGAGACGCTGCGCTGGGAATACATTTGACCCGCCCAAACCGTACATATTTTGATATGGTAGATCACCCTACTCTTGTGAAAAAAACCCTTTAAATTGGTGTAAATACCTGTTTCGTGGTAATCCTGATTGTTTCTAGTATCGCAACTATAGTTTCAACTTTCTACTAAAGTCATCTTCAGTCGTGAAGGATGTCAAAAGGGTGATCACTTCATAGGCCGGGGCCACACTTGTAACTTTTAACCAGCGAGACTGTTTTTTCCGTTTTCACGTGCGACGCACGTGAAACAGTTTGATCGTGGCCACACTCGTCTTACGAGATAGATTTTTCGGGCAAACCAGTGAGACTGATAGAGCATGCCACACTGGCAAATAAAAATCGTCCGTGTCCGTCTTCCACCACCCCCCCTCCACGTACTAAATCAGTCAGGTTAAAACTAGAAACGTCCATGGAAAAAATTCAGCGAGATAAGATGAGTGTGTTAACTCCCATAAGCCGCAATCCCCCGCGACTAGTTTTACGTGGAACGCCCGTGGGATGTTAGTAGAGAATACACGTAAAATTCCGTTTGTCAGTCTCGCTGGTAAAACCAGCGAGACTGACAAACGCGTTCACGGACGTTTTTACTCTAGTGTGGCCTGCCTCATATACCGTAATGTATCTCTCAAACCCACCCTCGTCATTGGGCGTCCCGTCTGGGTAACGCCCGTGGAAAAAAATCAGCGAGATAAGATGAGTGTGGCCCCGGCTTAGAAGGCCGTCTGGCCATCGTTACACAAACAGTACTGAACACACGAACAGGGACATGGACATTGAAATGGTAAAAACGGTACATTTAAACCATTAAAAATGAACAAAAACTGCGTAACTGCAGTGTGGGAATGATGTGTGACGACCGGATGGATGTAAAGTGACACTTAATTATACTTCTACATTCACTTTTCACTCGATTGGGCTAAAATACACACCTAGGTGGTGTCCCCATCTTAACTTTGGTACCTAATATAAACAATAGGACCGGTAGTCCCAGGTAGTCCTTTCTTGAGAATTGAGAACGGGAGGATGGGAATCAAAAAACTGTTTCTTTTGATTTGTGTAGCTTGAAACCGTAATTTATGCATACTTTTAAAAGACATTTTGTTTGAATTACCATACATATAAGAAAACATCGCAACAGATTTTTTCTGAATGTCGATGGATAAAAATCACCAAAGGCGTTCAAACAAAACAAAATAAACCGTAAGTAAATAAGCAAAACAAAAATATTGAAACCTAACCTAAAAGATACAGATCCTGTCATTCCTGTTTGTTTATTATTGTTTTATTTTTTATTTTAATTAGTTTGGTTTGGTAGTGGTAGATTCATGGAAGGTTACCTTATTAAAATTAAACTATACTATAATACAAAACAACACCCATGAGTGAGTGTATGTGAGCAAGAGATCGACAGGTAAAATTGAGTTAACCCATTGACTATACACGTTAAACATACCTAGTAAATGAACTGTTTATTACATTGGGTTAAGAAATTGGTATAACCTTAACGTCCCACTATTCAACTAGGCCTATGTAGTACAAAGTATATGATAAGTAAAATAAGTTACAGTTAGACCTATTAGCTTATGCTTATTGATGATGGACTAAGTTGCCAAATTAGTCTAAGTTGCAAGTTTGATTAGGCCTAGGTTAGGTTTTCTATTGTTATTTTTTGTATATCAATAGAACAAACAATTTTTAAGTTTTAATAATTTGTCAAAGTAGGATGAAGTCAGAAATAATTGAAGTTTTGCCGGAATTGAATTATGGGATAACCATTATGTTACCCAGCCCTAACCTTTTAGGTGCAGCCGACTCATGAATACAATTTCCTTCTGTGTATTTTTCACTGTTAATCTTGTATGAGTTGTATCATTAATTAAACTAGCCATATTTCTATTTGTGTTCTAATTTATTTGTACAAGTAAGTTAGGTAGTCCTAGATATATAGGTAAGAGCAGAATTAATTTGTTGTATAACTTCTCAATAGAATGGCAGAGCTACCACCTGACCCATTGTTCACTCTCCGAGGAGATATGGGGGCAGTTCACAGTCTTCTCTTCCATCTGACTGAAGATGCTGAGTATCTGTATGCATCGACTCAAAGTGGCCTCGTCCACAAATGGAACCTTAAGGTGAGAGAACTTTTAGGAGAGAAGGTTTTTACTAGCTTCTATGGAAATACGTAGGCCTAATTGCTGATATTTGCAAAGCTTAACTGTTCGGATTTTCTCATAGTGTTTGCAGTAAAGTTGCCTGATGGATGAATTTAATAATGTATTTAGGCCTAATTCTTATATTATTCTGTTCTGATGTAGCCTATTTAACCCTCCCAGTGTTACTTGACGAAAATTCGGCAAGCACCACACTTTGTATAGTGTTACTTGCCGATTTTTCGACAAGCAGACATCGTTTACGGCAAAGGCTCTATAACTGACTGAATCGGATTGAACTGGATCGAGTTAGGTATCGTTCTTTCCGTAATATTCTAAGCTTTCTGCAGAGGTCTGTCTCTAAGCGCTATTCATTTTAGTTCCGAAAATATTGTAGCAGACAGCTGACGTGCGTGTATTTGTAAACAGCTAGGTTCCCCCGGACCGATGACTGATGTGTTTTATTACGTTTATCATTGTTTTAGTGTTAAAAATCAAAAGTAGTGATATACGTGGTGCATTATAAGAAGATTTAAGTGGTTTTGAAGTGCTGGTTGATGATCCTGAAGAAGTAGGTAGTGATATTGATGTAAATTATCAGCCAGATTCCTAGCTATGGTTAGGCTATGCATTCTTAGCTAAACGCTATGTACTGAAATCAGTTTTTTGCCCATAACTTATTTATTTGCAAATATACTTCCTTATATTATTATATATTTGTAATCCTCATAAAATTTAGAACAAAGTGGCTATTTTCAAATATTTATAGGCCTATAATTTATACAATTTCATTGAGCGCGAACTTATTTTTTTTTTGAAAATTTTCGAAATTATATTTTTTTTACCTAAAAATTTTTTTTTTTGAAAAAATGTTCCTTATGTTTTATATATAATATTGAAGCCCATGATTTTCCAAACAAAATGGTATATAGAACATTAGAATTAACATCGTTTTAAGCTTCTCAGATCCGTTTTAATAAAACCTTGCAAATGCGCCAAAAATAGGTGGACATTAAGGCCTAAACTATGGACACTTGGAGGGTTAATTAAGATAGTAGGCCCCTTCTGAAAACCAATGTAAATCAACACACTTCTTTCCCTACCTAGAAAGCGAGGAATAAAGTTTGCAGACATTGCTCTATTTTAGTTTCTTAAAAGTTCAATTTAAGTTGGTGTTTAACCAAACAATATGGTTTTGTCAAATTGACCTTTCGCACAAATCCGACTGCTGGTCACTTTGTACACAAAACTTCTGTTTTGTAGCATATACTACATTGGAGATGAAAAATAAAAATTTTGCTCACCAAATTAAATATGAGCTGCCTCATATCTAAGACTATGTACTCTTTACAAATATAGGGTTAAATTAGATGTGTTTGACAACCATAGGTAGCCTATAACATTTACTTCTTTTTCAAAAATGCGTAGGTAGCCTACTGGTAATGTAGCTAAATAGTCCTTGCCCAAATGTTATACTGTAGAAACAATTGCAAGTATTTTAAACTTGGATTGCGATTCTTGCAAATACTATTTTATTTGGGGGTATGTGCACAGAATATTGTAATGAAACGCATAATGGAAGTATTAACAGTTAGTTGTTTAAATCTAAAATATCTTTGTCAATTACTTTTTATTCTGAGTAATTGAGAAATTGCTTGAGAAGTTATCTTTGGTATACATCTAAAAGAGTGTTCCCCAGTTAAAACCAAGCTGAAAATTATCCTCTGCTTCTTAGCCTTGTAGGTGATGTGAGAAGGTGTTTTTTCTGCACCATTTTGTGCAGTAATTACTGTAAATTTTATCATTTAAACCATATAATGTAATAAGCATTACCTACTAAGAATCTATAACTGGAACAGTGTTATTTCTATCTTTTCAGAGCTGCAGAGAAGAATCAAAATTAAAAATCAGCGAGGAGGCTTGTTTGTCCTTAACCTACTTCCGGTATAAACTTGTGTCTCAAGAAAAAGGAGGAGGAATAAAAATTTGGAAAGAAGATAAACACCCAATCCTAGAAAAAACAATACCTCTCGATTACTGGGGCTTTTGCAGGTTTGGCATTTCAGATTCAAAATATATTGTTTGTCCTGAATCTAGCTCATCAATAAAAGTGATAAACTTTGAAGGTGACTTAATCCAAACTTTGAAACCGCCGTGTAGTGAAAAATTAGGTGAAATAATGGCGCTAAAGTGTTTAAACTTGAGTGATAAAAGCTACATTTTTGTGTTGTATGAAAGTGGCTTATTGACACTATTCAGCTGTGATACCGGCTGCGAAGTGACTTCTTGTAAAGTGAGTTCCGACTGTCCGATGGCTTTGGATTTTGACGGGTGTTCCAAATGTGTCGTAGGCGGCAGTGGGGATTCTATCCTCGGGTTTGAACTTACCAAAGGATTGGAACTGATAAAGTGGAAGGAGACGAAGATCACCAATCCTGGCGTAAGTTGTCTCGCAATAAGGCCTGATAAGAGGCTACTGGCTGCCGGCTGTTGGGATGCACGGGTAAGATTGTTCTCTATGAAGACTTTAAAACTACTCGCCGTCCTTGTTAATCACAAAGACACAATCCACGACATCCGCTATTCACCAGCCAGGGTGCGGGCTTGGGATGTGGAATGGTTGTTGGCCGTGGCGGGCAAAGACGGTAGAGTGACTCTGTGGAACTTGTACTGATCAATTTTTTTTTAATTATAAACTTTGTATGGATTAGTTACATTTTGTTAAATGTTTCTGAATAGCTACCTGAACCTCACATTTAGGAATGATACATTTTAGATTGGCACACAATCCTGTAAGTAATCGTGGGTTCCAACAAAATATTCTTTTTACTACAACCTTAAAAATTACTGGTACATATTTAGTTACAAGTGTCTTCAGAAAAGTGATTAGCAGGACATAGATATACTTAATAGACTGTGTGCAATAGGCTATATAAAGCTTGATGTCCCACCAGTTGTGGGAACTTGAAATTCAGTGGCGGTCATAACTTTAGACATTACTGAAATAGTGATATGCGTTGGAACTAAAATTGTAGCCTGCTGTAAAATAGTCTCTATTTGATGAAATGGGTAAAACCAGATAGAAGAGAAATGTTTGCAGCAAAGTTTTAATGTAAAATAAGGTTTTTTTATCCGTGGCGGTTACTGCAGGTTTGAGTAAAAAAAAACTTCAATCAAGCATGAATTTAGCAGAGGCAAGCTTAGTAAAAGATGTTAGTTTTCTAATCACATTTTTTAGTTTTAATATTCTCTGAATCAACATTTGAAACAATACACTTATAAAATGCTTCATTTTGATGTGCCTTAGTATTACATTATTAGTCAAGAGTAACAGAGGGTTTAAGTATAAAATCCCTAACACAAGAACTTTTATTTAATAATTTTAGGTGCTCAAAACGGATTCACAAAGACTAAAAGAAGGGAGTATGTTTTATCTATGCTAAAAGCCTCTTGCTGATAGTGCTAAATCTTTACTCTTTCTTCTCTTCTGCATGCAGAGTCTGTAGCACCAAGAAGTATGAAGCTAGAAGCTTTATAAACTGAAATACAAATAATTAAAAGAAATTATACTGATCAGGCTGGGACTAAGTGTTAGTTAACAGTACTGAAAAGCATATATCAAAAAAGTATATATAAAACCACGTAGGTAGTTAAAAGTACTTCAAAAACATAATTAAAAAACTCACATACTATATTGATTGAGGCCCATGTTGCCTTCCCCAAGGTTGAATATTGAAAATTTTACTGTAGGCTTACGTGTACAAAAGCGAAAATAGGATTCATAGGTTGAAACTTGATAGATCTTAGTAAAAGTTATGGCAGTTTTTTTTCTGCTGCAGTATTTTAGTGATGGATTATACACAATCATGGTATAATTCAATTAACTACTAAAATAACATCTTTTACAGCCGTGTATTATGAGTGAATGAATTAAAAAGCTGTTTATTTTTGAATTTCTCGATACAAATTACAAGTTCGTCCCACTCAGGGAACGTGCTTTGTCGGTCGACAGCCGTGATTATGGTGAGGCTATTTATCAACTTTTTCTACACTCCATTTCCATTTAACATAGGTGTAAACTTAGTCTATCTTTTAGCACGTCCTCTCTTGTATCAATCCCACACTGTTGCCAGTTTACTAGGCCTACCTACCTACTATTGTACCAAGTTTTACAATTCAATAGGCTACTATTAATTTTGCATATGATTACTTTCAAAAACCAAATTAATTTGGTAAAACTTACATCGACAAATGTGCTAAGACCGAGGACGTACATCTTCCAGCCACTTAGCCGCAGAGGTTTACGAGCTTGTACCATAACCATGTAGACTGCCGTCTTTTGGGTGGATGACCCATCAACCCACGGGGCGTCGTAGGCTGCCTCGGCTAACGTCTCTTGCTGTAATAAATAGGCTCGGCTCGGTTTGGGGAAACAAACCAGGAAAGATAATATTACTCTATGTTTGTTCCTCCTAATGTAATAAAATATTGTACGGCTTTTAGTAGAGGGAGTTCTTTAATATACAGAAAAAGATCTAATCGTCTAACAATCCAATTATTTTTTTCTTAATAGACTCACTCTTAGCTTTGGGGAGGCTCTAAACCTCCGGTTATGGAATTATCACATAGGTAAAGGCAAATGGTTATTGGGAGGGATTTTGAACCCAGGCCACAAGGCCAGAAATTCCACACATTACAACCAAACCAGCCTAGAGATTTCCCTAATAGCCAGTCTGTCTTGATAATTGGCGGTTATAGGTAACAAAGCTTCACATCATCCTACTGCATTTTGCATTCAGCTAACATTCATGTTCAGTTTCACACTATCTTGGTGGCGTTGCTGTTTCAATGTAATAATAGAGTGGATCCCTTTAAAAATATATAAATGTGTAACTAGCCTATAACCTCAATGTTTTATTTAAAAAAAATCTAAAATTATTATATCTTGTCCATATTTGTCACAAAATCTTAACTCATTAAAAACATGAAGAAAATACTTGCCTGTTGTATGAGGACTTCACAAAATAGATTATTAAGGAACTGATGCAGAATACAAGTTCCGATGAAGAGAATCATCTGTATCCACTCGTAAATAGTGTTTGCAATCTGAAAAAAATTGTTGACAGTACGATAAAATTTTATTTTTATTTCTGTGGAGTAATCAACTGGTCTAACATCATCATAATAGATCTTAAATCAAATTTACTTAAAAAAAAATCGTTTAGCCTTAGTAAGATAAACTTCAGATATTTAATATTATTGTTATCATCAAAATGTTTCTTTTAACACTTTCTTATGATCCACAACGTTGCTTGATTCAATCCCGATAAGTATTATTTCTAGGTTCAATCCCATTTCTTTTAGGAGTAGCCTACAATCAATTTTCTGCAGGGCCGGATCTAGACAATTTTTGAGTGGGGGCAAACTAAAATTTGCCGCCCCTCCCCCCCCTTCACCCACAACAAAAAATCCCTCACAAATTAAACAAAAATGGAATAGGTAAAGTGGAATAGGTAGATATAACGAATTCCTTGATATAACGAATTTTTTTTAATCCCCTAGAACTCTCCATAAGACACAATGTATATTTTACCTCTACATAACGAACAAACTATAACAACGACCTTGATTTAACGAATTTTTCGTGATTTCGGCTAAAATAAGACACCTCAATAAGTATAACAAATTTATCATTGTCAGAACCTCTACATTGCGAATTTAACCTCTGCATAACGAATTGTCTACGTCTTTCCCTCGATATAACAAATCCCCCACCCAATTATTGTTTTGGGAAAATCTGTTTCTTTATCAAATGAAATGGAAAGGTCACCTCATCGCTTGCGCTAACATTCTTCTGCTCCGTTTTACAATTTACATCTTTGTCTGCTGTCTCTGCGCGCGCTATGTTGCAACTGAGAACTGATTTCATTCACTGAGGACTGATGACGACGTAATGTTTAGTAAGCCGTGATTGGGCGATATGGGATAACTATGGTGAATTGTACAATTTTTTTGATAAAGAAAAACCTAAGAAAGAATATAAAAACAAAACCAAAGAGAAAGAATAACAACATCGCTATTTTAACATTCCTTTTACGAGTATTTTTACTATCCTTAAGTTGGCTATGATTATACTCTTTTATAATGACTTATCTAATAATTTATTGTTTTCAATACGATTTGTTTCAACTAGCATTAGCAACACCAATGCTATAGTTAATGATTATTATTGACATTCCTCTGTTGTGATAAATCAGTACTGTACTGTAAGTAGCCTACCGGCACAGACAATAAAGTATTATATTGTCTGTGCTACCGGCCTATCGCGAGCAGTAGCTTACAAAACTTTCTACTGTTTTGTTTTGTTCTTTACATAATTTATGACTACGCAATACAGTGTTTGGCTAGGTTTTAGGAGGGTTAGAACAAGCTGTGATTGGTTGTGGCCATTGTCATGATTGCGCAATATTCAAGATCCCTCCCCTTTATTATGCCGGATAATTTAGGTTCTACTGTACAATGTAAACACTGTACTGTAAAGAATTGTAGCCCATGCTACTTTAATTGTACTGTATTTTAATGAGGTCAAGTCCCGACCTATATTGATCGACGCTGGTTCTGGAACCTCGACTTAGCGAAATTCCTGGAAACCTAACCTCTATATAACGAACCACGGCAGGGCGGCATGGCGCCTTGACAGGGATGGCGATCAGCTGAAATTGTAAACAAACTTTGCTGTGCTGCTAACTATGCTATTAGGGCTCTCAGTGTTTTCTACTCCGTTGCAATTTATATTGATTTCTATTGTAAAATTATTGTTTGTTTATTACGTTATGCAGTTTTGAAATTACTTAATTGACGTTCCTTATGACGTTCGGCTCATTAAAAACTTTTACAAACAGTATTAAACAAATTTTCTGCAACCTGAAATTTGCCGCCCCTCAACCCTGCCGCCCGGGGCAACCGCCCCCTCTGCCCCCCCCTTGTTCCGGCCCTGATTTTCTGCAAACAGTTTGATGGTTACAACTACAAGATTTTTTATTGTTCTCTCACAAAAAACACTACAAATTCAATTGGAAATAAAGTAAATGCAAAAAAATCTGGTAAAAATTTAAGTTTGAGTTTGTTGTTTTGTTATGGAACTTATTATTTAACTTATTAATAAATAACACATTGTCAATTACAAAAAAATTACAAAAAACGTTCTTTCTGACAAAATATTAACAATAGGTTGGAACAAGACCAGCTATTGGACTTTATCCCTTAATAAACACAAACCCCTTATAATCTTCCCTAAATTTTCTCTGCCTATGGCAGTACTCTGGATCTATCAGTGACCATTCTTTTAAACTGTCAATCTATAACTGTACTTTTGGTTAAAATGGGATTACAGTAAAATAATTTGCATTGCTCAGCGTATCGGTACGTATGAATACCCTCCGTCGTAGAGCCAAACATTATGTAACTGCAGTGGATATGTAAGCCAAGAAAAGATACATAATTGTCAACTTACAACAGTCTGCAACATAGCAAAGCTGAGAGAGACCACAGCATGTAGAAAATCTACCACAATAGACGTCCTCAACATCATGTCCAGGTCCTCGATGACCCTGAATCAGAAAATCTTGTATTTTCTTAAAGGTAGTGGTAATTTTGACAGGGCCGGCCTTCACTATACTTCATGAACATCTTACCTCCTTTCCCAAGAGTTAAATGTCTAGCTCTACAGTTAGTTAAATATATATAGTTCTCGCACTTATCAGAAGGTTACTGGTTTCATCCTGAGAAAAGTTAGCAGCTTGTCGAGGGTTGGAAACTGAACCCAGCTCTCCTTTATCTGGATTAACCAGCCAACTTTAGTAAAATAGCTAATATCTCATTCATTCCATACTAACCGTTAAGTTATAATACTTTGTATACTTTGCGATATACTTTGCCTTTACTACCTACTCTTTTAAACTCAAATATAACAATACAATACAGTGCAGATATGAGTTAGAGTTACAAATGCAACCATTACTCTATGGCAAAAAATGTTAAGCTGAAGACTGCACCTAAGTGTGCAACATAAAATCTACCAATAATCCAAAAAGACGAGTTTTATAATTTAAACATTATACATTTATCATTGTGTTACTTCTTACCTCAGTATTTCATTGTGATAATCAACACATTTTATAATTGCTTCGTCCATTTTTGCTTGAATTTCCCTTTCTTTTGAGTAACCTTCCCAAGCGGCTAGTGACTTTAGAGAGTCTGTAAAAATATTTGCTAACAAATTTTGAGCACACAAGACACATTTAAAGAGGATGGTCGCAAGCCATCCTCCTATCAATCCACCTCTTAATACAGTATTAATTAATCTATCTATATATTAATAGGCAAGCATGTTTCTTTAAAACCCTTTTTTCTTAGCTTGTGTGCATAGTAGGGAAAATCTACGCTTACTGTTAGGAAAATTTTTTCCTGTAGGTGTAGCCTCGTCCTGGGAGGTGAAAAACCTAGCCCCCAAAGGGGAGGTAACTGCTCGGTGTTGGTATCGGCATTTTCAAGTAGGCCACAGACATGGACGACTGGGCATTGGGTCCCAGTGACATTCCTTTATCCAGGATGGAGGGGTGTTTAGCTCTAGGAGAGATGGAAGTGCATCATATTCTCTAACCTACCTGTGTCTGTGGTTCTTTGGGCTTCGGCCTGCTTGTTGTGTGCGACCAGCATTCAGTGTGGCAAATCCTCGACTTTGGAAGTAACCTTTCCTGGAGGTGAAAACGGGCAAGTACCCGTAGCTCACGGGGACACTCAAGGGCAACGTAACTTTCCGCAGTGTGAGGGTAACGGTTTGTAGGCACTTATGCAAACCAATCCCTGTCTCTGAGCACGGACGGTATGGTTATCTTGAGTGTGGGGGGTTCTTCCCGGAACCTCAATTGAGTCAAGGGTGTCGCCACCTCTGGTGGATAGGTTCATCCGGGTGGGTCCCACTTCTATACCTGCCTCCTTTTGGGAAACCCTGATGGCCTGGCAGTGATGTTGGGTCTGACGGGCAAACGAAGTAGATCGGGTGCTGGGTCCGAGCCCGCCAGGGGTATCTGGGGATCTATCGCTCTGGTTATCTCTGGTTTCCCAGCAACTGGGTAAGGCCTCGATCGGGTAGTGGTGTAAATGGGAGGTCCCCTTCCTTCTGGCTATTGATGGCGGGTTTACCTGTCAGGGATTAGATAGGTCCCGAGTGTTACTTGCACTAAATGCGTCGGGGCGCTCTACCATGGTCCTCTAGGTCCCGACCTAGTGGAACCCAGGTGGAGTGACGCTTAAACAAGTAGCCGGAAACCCTGGTTAGGATTGAGGGGCAACCCTCTTTCCGAAGGGTCTGCTTCGGCAGCCGGTGAGCCTGATGACCTTAAGTCATCCGCCCATGATGTGCAAAAGGTTGATGCGTAAGCTTCGGCCTACATCATGGGGCCCGGGTAAGTCTCACGATAGGTACCGGGTATGTAGTCAGGGGGCTTCGGCTCTCATGACAAATATTGAAATTGAAATTGAAATTGTAGGTGTGCCCCTTTATAAATTAAAATAGGCTAAAAAATAATAAGCACAAAAATTAATTTAAAATTTTAAAAAATTTACATGGGTCTTATGGGTTGCCATGCTGGTGACAACAAACACCGTTTTGTATGTATGATTTGATTTTGTAACTGTGCCGATTTTTTTCCTATGATGTTAGGATACAGTCCAAGCCCTTGTCTTGTTACTGTCAAGCTTCAATATGTTGATAGAAAGCATCATTATCCTATTACAACCAACAACTAGTTCCAGAACGAGGAATCCCTTTAAGAGTTAGTTTTTTTTCCCCTCAGTGCAACTTCATTTTACTAAAGAAAAAAAAACTATTCATTCATTAGTACTAGTACATTTAAATACCTTCATTGAAGTAGAGATCAAGGATAGGCATATTATAAGTCAACTTTAAAATACAAATTATTGTAGTTTGAGTAGGGTAAAATGCCTTAGTTTTTGAGAAACACGCATGCTGATTTGTCATTGACAAGGATTAATAGGTGTGATGACAAGGGTTATTGATTTTATTTTTATTAAACAGGTTACCGTTCATGAACAAACAGCTGAACATGAACAATTTACAAAAATACAAGAACCAGAATTCATTGAGCTGATTCCTTTAGAAGCGAGCCTAGATAGTAAAACATTTTTCTTACCTTTCTCCCTCGTGATAATTAGTTTTTCGGTGACGGTTTGCTTAAACTTAGCGTAATCATCTTTCAACGCATACAAACTTATCTTGACAATTTGCAACTGTCCACAGATAAGATATATCATCATAAACAGCAAAGCATCACTGATGACATAAGCCATACCACATACGGCCGCCATCGATGTTTCCCACACAAATGCAATCTCGAAAGCTGGCGATACACCAGAATCAAACGGGTACCAGCAGTTGACAGGCAGTCGCCGTTTGACATGCTGCAAATTCGTCTTTGGAAGTAAAACTAGAACCTCTTCATCTTGAACCGCCGTAGTCAGATTGAGCGCCATTTGTTCAGCCAAAGTCAAATTGTCATACTCTCCCGGTACTGAAGATATTTTTTCAAGCTCCTGGGATATCTTTATGTTATCAATATTCCTCGAAGTTACCCATGCAATTATGATGAGAACAGGTAAGAAAAAGTAGACGTACGTGAACAATCTGGCGTACTTGATCCATTGGTTGATGTCGAACTTGACGTTGTAAGGTAGTCTGTGTGGGAGGAAGTTAGCGTCGACTTTGTCTGCGAGGGATTTGAAATCCTTGATGTAAAACATGAATAAGGCTTGACGGTAGAGGGCAGCGAGAGTTAGAGAGGCGACGTCGATGGCTGCACTGATGTTTTCCAAGTCGGGTGAGATAGTCATTTGAAGCAGCTGTTGTATAGAGATGATTAACAGACACAGCATCATCGACTTGGAGTAGATCCAATGAGCCGCTGTTATAAAAGAGCTCTTGGACTTGTACGGCCACATACCCCATACCTGCATGGCTCGCAGGTAGAACATCAGGTGGCTCTCTGGGTTGATATCCACAACATTCACGTCTTTGTCCATCTTAGAGTACAACTAACTCTATGTTAGGGTAGAGTCATCACCAATACGCGTTACATTAAAAGTTTGTAGCGTGTGATTACAACTTTCTCCATTTGGACAATGATTGTTTAAAACTCGTATTGATTTACACCTAATGTTAATTGCTATATGACTTTGAAATGAGTTACTGTTACTACTAAACTTTTTGTACTGTATTATGAATGATCATGTTGCAGGTCATAACACTTTGAAATTGAATGTGTTTCATTACATAAAAAAATTAATATTAACAATTGATTACTTCTGAGTGACATTTCTCATTTTATTTGGAAAACATTCACTTTTCGTGGGCACATAGATAGACAGGGAAAAGAAAATCACTTCACCAAGATGGCAACATAATATATTTTTGTATGTATTTTAAGCTGAATATGAATGAAGAATTAATTTAGAATCTTTGACTTTTGATAGAACTAGACATTCTATCCTCGTGTTAATGTTGTCGCCAGTTTTTACTAAAAAATAAACATATAATTGGATCGAAGCCCAACAGTCTGTATTGATGTAAATTGCAGATTTCTTTTGAATACACCAACTTTCTAACCAAGTCAATCAAAAAGAACAACATCAAATCTCATTAAAATAAACTAAGGAAGCAAATTTAATTTTTGTCCGTTGCACACTCTGTAAGTGATTCATTAAACCATATGTGTTCCTTTTTGAATAAAAATTAGGCTGCAACCAGTCCATGTAGATAAAATGTCTGCTTCAATATCTAAAAGTTGATAGTGCTACCCAACAAAAAGTAGAATCTAGCCTCATCAACAGCTTACCACAGTCCGTCTTGTTCTTGCTGCATCCACTCAAGGCCCCACTAGAAAAAACAGGCCATGCTGCAGCGCGGGTAGCGCAACACAACGTCACAGTGGTGGATAGTTGTACTAAACTCTTACCATTTAAAATCTTACGAACAGCCAGCTTGTTTATTTACCTAAAACATATGGGAATGGTGATGGCAATGAATTTATCAATGAAATCTATCCACTTGTGTGACGTCATGGATCCTGCAGCATGGCCTGCTTTTTCTAGTGGGGCCTTGATCCACTCCAGCAATTCATTTAAAATTGATGTCTTTCATCTCTTGATTACTCCCATCACAGTCTTATGTACACAACAAATATTCATTTGTTAAATACAGGCAAATAAACATACACCATGAATAATTAAATGTTTATTAATTAAGACAAAAGGTGCTTGTGGGTAAAATAAAAATAGAAGAGAATAACAAAGATATGCATCGATGTGATTATAACAGTCTCGTTAAACAACAAGCAACTCATGGCAACAACAGATCCTTACACAACATTTGACTAGAAAATCATCAATCTTAAAAAGCAGTACAATATTTTCACAAATCAGAAGGAAACTATTGAAAGACCATTTCCAGGGTGAATATCCATTCAGTAGGCTAGGGACCTTTTAGAGTAGTTAAAACAGTTAAAAGAGCACACTGCCAAATCATAAAACATAGCTTAAAGGCTAAATCCAGGTATTGTCTGTGAAGAGAAAAGAATTGTTTTGTTTTCACACCTTTCATTGCCAATATCATGATGTTTATTGGCATGAATACTACCATTGAAATAGACAGCTTTGAATTTGATTTAATTGAAGCTTTGAATTAATTCATCTTATAAATTATCTAAACCACTGATCCAGCTATTGTGGTGGGATTGTATTTACGTTATAGTAACTGTAAATAAACCAATATTCTACAGTTTAAAATATGTTAATTGAAATTGTTAGTGAGTTTTTAACCAATCTAAACTTTAATCCAATCTGTCTTACCTTTTTAAAAAGTAGAATACCCTTAGGTTTGCCTTTTATACAATGCTTTAGTTTCTCATGTGATATTTATTTAATTATGTAGACCTAAAAAAGATTGAGTAGCTTTTTTCAGTTTTTTTCCAGTTCAGCATTAGGATGTTGTAAGTCCCTTCCACCATTGACTATTGGATCAAAGCTTCCACTAATAAAATCCTTTCCGATCATCATTGGAATAAAGCACACAAGGCCAGTAGATGGGCAGGTTTCCTGATTCCGTTAATTTAAAATGTACTAGAGGCAAGTAACCTCCTTGCCTACTGGCCCCGTGTAAACGCGGCTTAAAAGATGAACCAACAGTTTCTAATTTGAAACACATGTTAACTAAATGAGTTTTTAGATTCAGACAAGTGTTTGAAGGATTGTGGGATAATGGCATTGCTGTGAAAATGTTATAACATTGAGCAAGTTACCTAAAAGTATAGTGATCAGAAAGTGATTCATAATCACTTGTCTAAGAGCAACTCATTTAGCAGTTTATTCTTAATTTTATATTTTAATCCAAACCACCTATAAATAATCTGATTCAGCACAATTCTATACCAATACCTATCAAAGGACTGCACAGCATCTATTGTCAATTCTACCAAATTACTTTTTGACATGGTACTCTATAACTTAGTATTTAGTAAACTATATTACATCAAAATCTTTATATAAATTGTATCTCATTTTGTGCTGATAAGGTAAAACTACAAGAAACGTCTGAAAATCAGTAAAGAAAGTTTAATGGAACCGGTTCCTATTTGATTGAAATTAATTTAAAATCTTAAAACTACATAAACAAATAAATGTTCTAAATACTCTTTGAGCATTATTTTCAACTATAAATTATTTAAAAAATCTACACATCAATAACTGGTAACTTAAACATAACTCATCATTCTAAAATGTTCATCTTTAACACAAATATAATTCTCTTTTGAATTCAAACTATGTACTTGTATAACAAATTAAACTGTATTCCCAAATTTTTAAGTACGTAAAACTATTTAAACCAACAACATTAACAGATAATACAGTCATTCAATAGTTTCCTCTTTTGAAAAATTGAAGCGTACTTAACCTAAATATTTGATATTGTACATTATCACAGACGAGTAATCTCTGGAGCTTGTTGGATATTCACGATCCTCCGGTTCTCCGTTTGACTTGCCTTGTCACGACTCAGTTCTCCATTAAACTTTCCATTGTGCTCCGTTGAGTTAGGGGTATTCACTTCGAGACACTCGCAACTCAAACTCGAGTCTGAGAGTGTTGGGTATTGCGGTAACAGCAGCAACGACTCCGTTGACTTTGTAGGCTGAACATATCGTTGTTGTTTGCGATTGTGCGAAGAAGAATGGCCATTTTTGGAGGAGTGACTCTTGGAGGATTCGCCTCGGTCGAGGTAACCGTAGCCAAAGCCGTAGCCTCCGAACGCCTTGGTGGTTAGGTTGTCCCATGACTTGGGTTTGGCAGGCTCGTGATGGCCTCGGTGAGAGTGTTGGCGTTGTGTAGCCTCGCTAGGAGGGTCCCAGTAGAGAGTGTCGGTGCTGAGAGACGTGGTGTAGGACGCGGCGCTACTCTCCCCTCCCCCCGTAGTCACTCCACCGCCACCTCCGCCACTGTTTAGCTCGCTACTGGTACATGAGTGTAGGCTGCATTGACTTACTAGGCTGAAGTACCTGTTGAACCAAGAGATGGTTACAAACAATTAACATGGAGCAAACTTAATAATCCTAACCTTGTTTTCCAGATAAGAAGTAATATTTCAGCCAGATAAGTACCTTGTTTTAAGATAAGAGATGTTGGTTCCATGTTCACCAACACCTACACTACAAATTAGGACATAAACTTATTACTAAATGTTGACGTTTCGATTTTGCTGCAGACAGCCATCTTCATAGTAGTTCACAGAAACAGATGCTAGACGAGCTACCAGCATGCACCACTAGGGCACAGATTATATAGTCAAGTCTTCAGCCTCTTTGCTCCTGCTGAGGAATACAATGTTGCCGACTTGACAATATAATCTGTGTTCTCGTAGCCTACGCCAGTGGTTGGTTTCAGTGAACTGCTCTAAATATAGCTAAATTTTGCAAGGAGGTTGAAAGAGCAACCCTCTGTAAGTTTCTGTGATGCAGTCATGCTCAGAAGATAAATAACTGGTAACTTAAACATAACTCATCATTCTAAAATGTTGGTCTGTAACCCCAAACATAATTCTCTTTTGAATTTCAAGCTATGTACTTGAATAACAAATTAAACTGTAAGTCTATTCCCAAGGTACGTAAAACTCAACTACGGTAACTGTTTAAACCAACAACATTAACAGCTAATACAATAATTCAATTTAGTTCAAGATTTAGTTTTGTAGAGTTTGTTTTTAGAATTGTTTTAATTTTGTACAACTAAAAAATTAGGTATTTAAAGGATAAGGTTCAAATAGCTATCCTAAGAAAATTAAAGTCCATGGGCTTGTAAATACCTCATAAAATAATACTGGCATTTTTCAAGGTTAATTTGTCATAAATTGATAAAAATTCCTACACTATACTCCATTTACAAAATTGAGGCGGTTTGAGGGGAGCTTAGCTTCCCCACTACTTTTTTTGCTAAATACTGTATATATGTCGCAGCTGATTGATGATTTGGTATACCTCAGCTGTTGCGCAATTATTTCAAAAGTATGATCAAGTGGAGGGGATAAATTTCTTCCCCTAAAACCGCCAAAATGTTGTGAACAAAATATTAATGTTATTACATGACTTTTCATAAGCCTCATTCTTAATTTGATGGGAAACGAGCTAATATAATTCCATATAAAATTATTTCCACCAAATATCACAATTAATTTGTGAACTGCTGCTTGTCATCGGGTATTAATACCAAAGAGTAGTTTATCCCACTTCAACTTAAGAGAAAAACAGTCTACATCAGTGCACTCAAAATGAAACACACTACAAAACAAGTTTCAAGTAAACAATTGTTCTAGCATTCTAGTGGCACTATTTGAAGTATATGGTTATATATATTGTACATGACGAAATCTAGTGTTCTCACCGAGTGCCCCGGCTGGTGTAGGAAGGTTCTACATGATGGCAGCCATTCTTGTAGCTGTTAGATGACACTTGAACTGCCCGACTGTTACACTTCTCTTTGTGTTCGCCTGTAACAGGATCTTATGTTATATTCATTCAATAAATATAACCAATAATAAGATTTATTACATCCATTAATCATAACATTTTGTAATAAGCATTGTTTAACCCTAGATGGGTATCGCATGTAAATTTGACATAGGGTGAGTTATTTTTAGCGTCTCACTCCCCAACCCCTCTACCGACACTACCCTCCTTCCAGCAGTGCTCTCAGCAGTCATTTGCCTTTTGACAGCTGCCTTGGTTGGGTTGTAGTGAGTTTCTTTGTGTCCTTGCTAGTCGGTTTCTTGGAACGCATATGTCAAACTTACGTGTCAATATCCTTTGTGTATATAGTAAAATGGCCGACAGTATTTCAAATTTACGCATTAAATCCTTAGCGTCACACTGTATGACGATACCTTACTTTATGACAATTACTATAAAGCTATCAGTACCTAAAATTTACGTTTGATACCCTTTGCGTCATACTGTATGACGATACCTTTCTAGGGTTAAAACATAAAAAGTACGGTAAAATAAATAAGCATCCTCAAACAGTCATCAATTACAAGACACAAAATATCTTAATTATTTAATTCTAAACATAATGTGTCCCTATTCGAACATTCCTCTTGAGTGTAAAACCCAAAGTTTAACATCAATATCTCAACTCGTCATGCAGTAAATTGCCCGATTAATAGCCATAATGTATAGGTTCTACTTTAATATAGAAACAATCATTCCAAGAAACATACAGAGCAGTAGACTCCTCTCGTTGAAAATTGCTTGGTTTGGTATATGAATCTTCTAGACGCCCACTTGTGCAATAATCACACACTTAACACACTGTTCATAATTAAGTCACAATCTTATTGTATTTGTGGTATTATAGTTGACCAATTTTGTTCACATATACGAGGTTCTTAAACAAATTTATTTTTGGACTTGCATCTAATGGTTCAAACGTTTTTAGTTCAGGAGGATCTGGTCCCAAACAAGAAGTAGTCTACTGCAAATACTTTTAACCTCAAAGCTTTAAAACATTGAGAAAATAAGCATCAAAACCAAACAGCAGGTGTAGAATTTGAAACATCAAAGACAGAAATAGTGCTAGGCATATCAACATCAAGTGCTGTGTGTGAATAAAAAGATATAAAAACATAAAGGGTGATTAAACACAAAGAGGCGAGTATCAAATTTCACCTCGGGAAGAGGTGGAGGAATCGTGGGAGTTTTTGTGTCGGGAACGTCGGCGAGTGGAGGGAACGCAGTGTGAATTGCAGCACGGACTGGCGAGATCGTACGCTTCCAGGCTGGTGTTGTCTTGAGCACTCGGCTGTAGGCAGGGGTTGCAGAGGTGGTTGTGCGAGCGGTCCCCTACACAGGCATGCCAACCTGACATATTGTTGGCAGCGGATGGTGTGATGTGGTGAACTGGTGTGGCAAGTGAGATGTGATACAGTGTTGGACTTGAGGGGTGATATGATTTTGATGGAATGAGATGTGATATGGTCAAATGAGTCGTGAACTAGTGATGAGTAGTGAGTGATACGGTGTGGGAACACAGGGAATTCCAGAAAATGATTCTGGTGGAATGAGTTATGGTGGTTCAACAATAGTTTACTAGACATTCAATTTTTACACACTTTTACAGGCTCGACCAAACTCGACCAATACTGCTATTTAAGAGTTTTGTATGACTCCTCGTGGGCCGTTCCCCGTAAGGGATAAAAAAATAATAATAGCTTAAAAGAATAGACATTTATGGCTATTATTGCTATACCAAATCTCATTACTTTATCTAAAATGGTAAAAAATATATTACACCGTTCCGGGACTTTTCAATCACACTGTAAAAGAATAACAAGATAAAATGGGAAGAATCAGTTGCAGCAGTAAAAATTATATGTTTACCAACAAAACAATAATTTATGATACAAATAACTGAAAATTTGCTCACAGAGCAGCGCATGTATGAACCACACAGTTTGAGAAGATTAAATAAAAAACCAGTCACCTGTGTAGAAGGAAATTACTTAAAGATAGAATGCTGAATATAAATCTAGTATTAAATCTATTGGTGTGTTTATAGAAAATAATTTTAAGCTTACAATATTATGGAGAAAATAATACTTCAATCACCGACTGTTGCGGTTTTTATATCATATCAATTGCGTTCTTCACGTTTCATGCTAAGTACACCTCAAGTTAAGAGAATAAATATAGACTTTACAATCCCATTAATTCCGTGATTAAGAGACGCTCATACCAAGATTTCGTGGTATCAAAATCTGGCTTGGATCCCAGGATTATGACCCCTAGTCACAAACAAATATTTATATAATACTTTTAGCTTGTGGCACTATTGTGTTTCCATTCTTGAAAATCTCAACAAAGACAATTATTGTCTTTCCAAAAGACAGTACCGGTACTCTTCTTGTTTTTGCAATAGCTATCTCTGTTATGCAAACGTTACTAATTGGCCCATTTACCTCGGCCCATTAGTCAGGGTTAGTGCTGTTATGGTAATGAGTGTAAAACAGGTTAGCAGGTTGTCGAAAGAAAACATGCTTGTTAGCAATACAACTATTTTCAACGTAACAATTTTTGTAATTATTAATACAAGTATTTAAAGCATAAAATTTACAAAATATTTGTATACTGTAAATTAATTTTGTTAGTTACGATAATTTTTAACTTTTTTAAATTGGCTAGAGAGGTTCTAGAGATAAAGTAATTTACAATAACTACAAGAATTCACCGTTCAGTTTATGGGTATACAATACCAATCTGTTTCATTTGAATTTACTGTTCAAAGGTAAATTGTGATTACTTCAATTGTGATTACTTACAATTAAATTAATTGGTATTGCTAAATGAAACCTTTGAAATTTAAGCATGTAAATAATTTGTTTTAAATTTCAATGGTTTTTATCTTGATTATGCACATTGTTAGTAGATGGCTTCTCAAATTAGAAAAATTAAGGATGAAAGCTAAACACCATAGATATCAGCACATCCAGTAAACTTTTTTATGTAACCAGTTTTTCCACAGAGCTGCAAATATTTTGCAATGTTGATTGTTTGCTAAAAAAATTAATATATTTTGTCTGTAACGGTGTGATTTAAGATTTTTGCCATGAATGCAATTCACTTCCCCATTTCAAATTCACACAGGACAAGCTAGCTTTGCTCATCAGTTGTTCATGTTTACAAATAGATTCCGGTAGTATTATTTTCCAAACCTCTACTATTAATAAAACAGCTGTTTATTTAAACTTTAAAAACAATAACAGTAATTATAACATAGCAATCCGTTGTAGCGTTTACTAATAATTGTGTCAACAATCCAAACCTTTTCTTTGTATTAAACTTCAACAACTGTCAACAAAGCTGTTATCAATCCAAACTTTTTTGAAATTGAGAATACAATTACTGGTACCTAATAATGTGGCCTTCTCACCTTTGCCCTTGTGATTGACACCGTTGTGAGCATTGGCACACTGTTGAGCGTAGCCTCCACGAGAGCTGGTGTCCGGCGCGACTCCACTCGCACTACACCGCCTGCTGTCACTTGCATGATGGCGCTCACGGTCTCGATGTCTCGAGTTCTTCCGCTCCCTCTCTCTCTCACTGCCTGACGAGTAGTTGCTGTAAGGTTTTGAAACGTGTAAATAAACTAGATTGTTTGTGAGATAGTAAAATCTACTAAAGTTATGTAAAGTTGAAGCTCGTGTTAAACAGGAGGGAGTATAACTTTTAATAGAAAGACTGGATACAAATGAAACGGCAGTCAATGGTGAGCCACAGGTATTATTACAACAATATTTCATTACTATAATCCGTCTTTCTATTGCGCAAAACCACTGCCTAATTACTAATTACTTAACCCTAATTACTGCGGTATGTTGTATAGAGGTATTTTTTGCAATGAACTCCATGAAAGTTTCAAGGGAATTTCAAAAAATTTTTCTTATATCAAGTAATTTGTTTTACCAAGCTTCGTACTAACAAGATTTTACTGTATATAAATAGACACAATTAACCATTAATCGTAGTGTCTTATAAATTATTTGAAGTTCAAGATACCTTTGCCAACTGGAGACTAGGTATTCACCACTACTGCTGGGTGTGGCAGTGGGATGGATGAAGTAGGCTCGGCCGTGTGCGTCTATGTACTGGTAGGCCAGCAGAAGCTGGTTAGGCGTAGGGTAGACTGGGGCAGCCCTGGCTACGTCCTCCGTAGACACAGTAGGGCGGCAGTACGGGGATTCTCCTAGAACAGAGTGAACTAGATCAGCATGATACCTTAAGATTACTATTTGCTACCTAGAATTCGGTTGTTAAAATTAAATAAGCTGGAAGTCAATGAAATTGAAAATTAAGCTGCTACTTGTGGAAAGGTAAAAGTACAAATCTTCCAGGGGAGCTCCTGAATCCCCTCTTTTCTTGAGGGGCGTGGGACACCCCCTGGTAGCCTCCCCCATTATAAGGTCCTTGAACTGCCTCTGACTACATATGACATGGTTATACCATGGAGATCACAGTGCGGTGTAGTTAAGTCTGACTGTGATAAAAATAAAACGTCACAGCTTTTCCGTAGTTAACACAATGCTGTAAACACTTATTTCTCTCACCTATGTCTTGGTGGGTAGGGGTTGTGGCGTCAATGGAAGACTTTGCTCCAGATGTCTTCTTCCTGGCAGGCAGACTGTGTGTCTTCCACTTCCCCTGCAGTAACTCTCTCTCCCGCAGACACAATCTTTCCAGCTCCACCATCTTGCCTTGCAGAATCCGTTGCAGCTGGATGTACCGCATGTGCAGCTCTACCTGCAGTTGCGGAACAGTTTTGATAGTGTCTTTGCAAGTGTTAAGGGTAAATGATAAGAACAGGTATTAGGAAAAATATTGAAAGCTTTCCACTTAGAGAGAAAAACTAAAAACAAATCTTCATTACCAGTAATCAATTTTTTTAATTATATTTTGTATTGTCTAATGCAGCAATATTACAACATGCAACAAGGAGGATATAAACCATACCTTCCTGACGCAGTCTTCAAACAAGACGACCATTCGCATTCGAGAATCACAATTCTTTATGAAATTGACAAGTGTTTTGTGATCCGTCTTCTCCATGTCATGACCATTGATGGAAAGGATCACATCCCCTGTAAAATCATCTTGCTGTACATTTGAAGTGATGGAGTATTGCTAAACATCTTTATGGAATTAATTTTCAGATTTTTGTAAACATACTTAATCCTTAACCTTAGCTTTTACCTGCGCGTCCTAACCAATCATAAAAACTCATTTATTTTGTAACTATAAATTATACTGTTGGAAATCTATATATATAAAAGGCAAAGCCCTCACTGACTGACTCACTCACTCATCACTAATTCTCCCACTTCCCATTTACCTCGGAGGCTGAAATTCGGTACACCGATTCTTTGGGCATTAAATAGGAAAACTAAGTAGTTTTTATTTTGATCGGGCTTTCGGGCTCCGCCCCAGTGGATCTGGAGTTTCCCATGTTAACCTTATGATTTTTCATATTTAAAAGGAAATATTGAATCTCAACAGCTGTTTCAATTAAACAAGTTGGTTCTGTTCTATGATGATCAATAGCATTTAAGTTAAAAGGATTACCAACAGGGTGCAGCACTATTATTTTTTTAATTTATGACAACAGCTAATTTGCAACCAAAAGGTGAGTGAGCATAGCGAACGAACTTCAACCTGGAGGCGAGTTAGCGTAGCGAACGAGCTAACCTGAAGGCAAGTGAGCGCAGCGAACGACCTCCAACCTAAAGGTGAGTGAGCGTAGCGAACGAACTTCAACCAGAACGTGATTGAGCCATGAGAACGAGCTCACTCATGAAGTTAAACGGGGCAAAGCCCGCGGGTACAGCTAGTCAGTCATAAAAATCACCATGAGTAGCAGAGCATCTATAATATTAAAACGAAACAGTGTTTTTTTATTTTACGATTCTGAATCAACCACTAGACAGATTTTCATGATTTTTGTGTCGAAAGAAAGATAATTTTGAGAACTAGGGAATGTCGAAGCCATATATTTAGTTTAGGGTCCCAGTTTTTTAGATATTAAGTTTTAATTTTTAAAAAGTCTAGCAGCCGACGCTAAGATTCTAAACTAGCTTTTGGCATAACATAATTTGCTTAACATAACAGCTGTAAACATTCAGCTTTTGTGTCACAAATTCAGCATTTGGATAAAAATGTAAAGACATACTTAGGGTTGACTTATTTATACTATGTGTAATGCAAATCATTGATATGTTCAATTTTTCTGTAAGAGGATGACAGATTAATTAAATTATCCATAGTAAAATACTAGGATGTTCAAATTATTTTTTAAAAGCAATCTTTGTAAACTTAGATTTGTTTTAGAGCAATATAATTTTATTTAACTAACAGCTCTTTAAATATAAATTATAAAACTATGAGGTTATTTTATTTAGGGGCCTACTCTTATTTTGTCATTAAGATTAGTAGAGATAATTAGACCACAGTTAAAAATAGTTTAGACCAAAATTAATTAAACCACAGTACAAATCGAGGCTCTGTACACGAGTCTTAATAAAAAAGGATAAATGCAAATTATTTTACTATACCACTTTTCGAGGAAAGAATAGAAAAATAACAATGTTTACATGTTTTAATTCTTCATGGTAGCTTTTTGTTTACAATTAATGTTTGTCTGCTTTCACTTTGTTTGGATTAGGCCCCGAAATATTGATGTCATAAAAAGAAGATCAAGAATAATCAGGAATCACGATTTTAAATTACCACCACAACCTCAGCCGAGTTTTATACAAAGATTGAACACAACAACCCACCACAACAACACAACAACATTGACCTAGGATACTGCAATTAGACAACCCATCCTTTTATGAAATCGTGTTCAGTGTGGTTACGTTTGGGGGTGCCTATCAGCGCCCCCAAACGTGAAAATATCACTTTTATTTCAACTATGAATATATTGTAGTTTAAATGAACTAATATGGGAATTACGATGTACACTTATTCAATGAGGGTGGGTAATTATTAAGGATAGAACTGATAACGGTATGGATAATAAACATTGACAATTACGTCATTAGCTTTACTAGCGTAGTTACTTTTAGCGAATTTCCCATATAGGGAATAAGCTATTACCGTAGTACTCATGGTAAGACCTGGACGCGGGACCGATTTTTTTTTTGTTTCGAGGTCCCTAGAGACCAAAAACACCATCCGTTCAAATTCATATATATATATATATTTATATATTTATATATTTATATATTTATATATATATATATATATATATGTGTGTGTCCGTTAGCACTATAACTCGAGCAAAAATGATCCGATTTTGATGAAATTCGGTACAAACGTGTAAACCTACGTTTATTCGAACGAGTTCGCGATCCAGCATGATCGGACCATGGGAACGGGGGTTTACGGGGGGTTTTATGGGGTAAAAATAGGGTTTTCACATTTTTGACCCAAAAAACATAAAATTTAGCAATTTCTTTCCAAACCATTTTGTAGAGCTTAAAAAAACAAATAATTTAGTATATTGAAGCGTTATTATGCGCCTAATGGTTACGGAGAAAATTCCAAAAAATTGTAAATTTAAAATTCCCATGTTATTCTTATGGTGAATAAGTAAACTGTTGTAGTTTGCTTGTTTATGAACATATTTTGATCAAATTTGAAAAATGTTTTTATTTCTTACTAACTATTAACATAAAAAAAACAGTTTTACCTCCCTGATGCAGCAAACCTAAGTACTTGTTAAACTAATTCTATTTAAATCGGGAATAAATGTTATATTTTTAAGTAGACATTTCAGTGTAAATCAAATGGAAATTCGCTTAGTCTGCAGGTTTGCTGCGGCGGGGGTATTTATATTTCTGCTACATGTGACCAGTTCTTTTTTTCAAATGAATGTTATTTGAACCAAACAGCTGTTTTAAAACAAACTGTTATTGTTTTTACTTTTCTTTGTTTACACTTATTTATTTAGCAACTAATGCAGTGAAATTGATATAAAGGATAGGTGTGGCGATTTATGTGTAATGTGAATTTTGTTGGATATTATCGTTTTATTTTAGGTCGTTTCTATTCAGACCTACTGGAAATTGTGTATAGTAGTTGTATTGTAGTGATAATTATGGAAGAGGCAGGTATGCTATGGAAGGTGGTTTCGTTGACTAAGTCTATACACTTCTCAATTGACTATTACTTTCTCTACTGCAGGCTACTTATAATCAGTGTGCGTCTGTGCGAATCGGCTGCAAATCTCCCTTCAACGCTTTTTACATCGTAAAAATTGCAGAATTGCTGTTTTGTTGTAAAATTATCGGATTTAAAATGCATATCGTATAGGCCTATGATGGAATAAAAATATATTTGGTCACACAACATTTGTTTACAAGATGATTTTTCACATTAAAACTGCAAGAAACTTTGTCTTTATATGTGTAAACTAGCTGATCTGAATTATGTAGCCTACACGGTTTTAACTGACTACTGAATTCCCGTACGTAGGACGGGCTAACACCTCGTATAAAGTAGTTTCCAGAACCTATGAATGGTACAGAGAACATTGTATTTATATAAAAATATCACTTAGTGACATAGCTTTTCCAATTTGGGTATGTTTTGGCAAATTTGACTATTAACTACTTACTCTTCAAATGAAAAACACTTTATTGATTACCTTCCCTGTAGCTGCAAACCTAAGTACAAATCCAAATTAACGATTCAAATAGGAAATAAATGTGACAATTTAGAGAGATTATTTTAGTTAAAATCCAACTAAATAAAGGGAATCCGCTTATTTAACAGGTTTGCTGTGGCAGGGGTTATTGAAATCATTATTTTGGAATAGTTTACCGTGCAAAGACACAGTAAGTTGTTTTCCCACCTTAATATATAGGCCTACGTTAAAAATAAAAAACAGTTTTTTTTTTTATTCTCATGTAATATGTGAGAATCAGCTACCAAGAGGAAAACCCCATGTCCTTGTCTAAGACCTTGGGTAATTTAACAAGCTCAGGTTGAGTGTTTCGGATGGAACTTCTTCCTTTACAGTCAAGGCTTTACCAGTCATTTGTATGGTTGTTATAACACAAGAAGATTATTTGGGAATTTTCTTAATTTAGGTGTTTTCCAATTCCAAACGTATTCCTTATGCTGTATTCAGAACTTAAAGATTTTTGTTTCCAGTTGGTCCATTACTGAAAGACAAAAAGTGTGCCAAGTTACAGAAAATTTCAATGTAATTTTAAAACTAAATTGAAATTGTTAGTTTTGTCTTTTTACTTGACACTCATTTAACATGAATGAAAAAGTATTAATTTTCTTCCTTTAGAATACAAATGAAAATAAACGGTATTAGTAATCTGACACATACTTTCTCCCATAAGCTTGGCAACAAACTTTTTCATGGGTATGCAGTGGGAGTACTATCATATTGATATTTTATAGGGAAAAATCACAAAAGTTGCAAACACTTTTGAACCGTAATTGTTAGAGCAATGGGGGTTACACTCTTTTGTTTAGAATTATAAGGACCATAAAACATTAATTTTTAATCAAAACAGGTTTTTTCCTAAAATCTAATTTTTTTTATTTTATAGGTTTTTATGGGAAAATAACATAAGTTACAATAACTTTTGAACCATAATTTTTATGGAGATGGGATTTGTGCCATTTTGTTCAGAGTTTAAAGTTTAATGGACTATAACATAGTAATGATTTTTTTCTCAAAATCGTTTGGGACATTTTCAAGAAAATCTGATTTTTCCATTATTTTATGGATTTTTATGGGAAAAACACCATTAAAAATCAAAATTTAAAAAAATTAAAAAACACCTGGAGATACCATGGATACCTAGGACCTACATACCAAATTTCATCAAGATCGGACTACAGGTGTGATCTGTAGCACTGTACACATCCACACACACACAGAAATCACTTTTTTCACAAAAACCTTTTTTTCGGGTGCAGGGGGACCCAAAACGGCTATACTGTATTCACTCAAATTCAAAAATGTTGACCAAAACAATACTTTCTCCATATACTAATGGTATGGGAGGAGAAAGTAAAATTCCCATGTACCATTAATGTTAAACAGTGTAACATTTTATTCTAAACTCTAGGTTGAAGTTTAGTCTTCTTAAAAACACAAAACCTAGAATTTTGTTTTTAAACTTAGGTGCAAACTTGTTTACATCATCACAAAAATTAATCGAGCAACTAAACATTTTGAACTGATTTAGTTACAGAGTAGATTAATGACAAGAGTGCTAAATTCACGCGCACATTAAAATTAAACTTGTAATAATGATGGATTATGGGAATATTCCTCACCTTATGTAAAACGGGTGGGAAATCATTATTGAAATTGGCTGCGAGTACAATGCGGCCAGGAGCGGGAAGTGAAAGAAACCGAATGTTGGTGCTTCCTGCACGTCAGCTGTCAGTACGGTACTGCTTTATGTAATGTGTAAAGGAAACATATTATGTTGCATTATGTATATTGATAAATAACAAGTTTGGTGGCTTACAACTAAAATATTATGGCAGAGGCATCCATGTAAAGTCATTTCCCATTTATGTTTTTTATAGGCTAAACATACCTTAAAAATGAAAAATGTTACTCATATGATGAATATAAAATAGCCTGATGAAATTAAATGAAATGTTTTTATTGTCTTTCGAATTTTTACAAATTTTTGACAATATCATAAAACAGCTCAAATTATATTATAGCATAGTCAGTTAATGAATATAGCTAACTACACACAAGGAGACATGTTACAATATACGTTTTAAATATTACAACCAAATAATCTTATTGTTGAGAAAAATTCAAGGCATTAAACTCTATAATCAACTAAATCCAACAGTAATTTGGTCGAAAAATTAATAAAAGGCATTTCAAAAAATTCCTTTAGAGAATAAATAGGGTTGTTCAAAAGCCATTTGTAGAAATTAGATTTAAAAGTACTTATATATTTTGGTATTCAGTATTAGGGTAGCTTGTTGTATTTTAGTGGTTGATACTTTTACTTTATGCCCAGCAACAACTACTTAAATTCAATTTCCATTAAATTATCATTAATTTGTGACCTGTTTTTTTATTTTTTTTTTATAATTATAATTCATTTTTATTTTTTTATAATTATAATTATATAATTTATAAAACGCCTAGTCAAAGCAGAGATGTACATTGTACAAGATGTCCACTCATGCCTGACATTTTATGATGGGCGAAGCTTTACATCATCTGTTACTGAGCATGATTACGAACTTGTTCAGATTAGAAAAACAGTCAAGGCTCCACAGCTGGTGAAAGTCAGCTGATTATCAGCTGTCATTACCAAGTGATTAGGATGAGCTGAATGTCCCTTTGTAGAAACAACCTTTTACTGAATAGAACTAGACATCCCATTCCAAAGTTGAAGTTGTAGTCAGCTTTAAAATGAAAATAATAGTTGAAAGAGGACGTTGATGATAATTACTGATTTTTGTTCACTATGCCAACTTTTCAACAAAGCCAAACTGAAAGAACAATAACTTGTAAAGCATATGGATATCTCAAATAAACTAGGCCTATCAAAGTACGATTTTTGGTAAGGGGGAAAATATAATTTTGATTGACCTAAATAGGAATTCAATCTGTTTCATTTTAGCAAATTTCCCTATATATATAAATATATATATATTTTATATATTTAGCCCAAAAATGGTAGAGAATTACATTTTTCGACACACTTGGTAATAGTCCTCCTGTCTAAGATTACAAACAAATTTTAGGCTCCTATCTTAACAACTAGACTTAGCCTGAAAATGTTAGTTTATCTAAAAGCTCCAGTCAGTATTTAATGGAAATTTTTCTAACAGGCTGTTAATTAACAATTCTTTTCTTGTACAAAATATATCAGCTGACTCATAGTAAATATGTATTAGAAGTTAGATATTTACAATTATTCATAGATCAATCAGAAGTAGCTAATAGCATTTCAAAGTACCTAAATGGAAAACCATGACATTAAAGATGAATTTTGGAAGAAAAGTTCAAAGCTGGTCCCAGGAAGACCAAGCCAAGTAAAAGTCAACTGTTTTGAAAATTCAAGTCCAAGCACATACCCTGATGACTTGGAAGTTGGTGTGAGATGTTCACATAAAGTTGTGGCGAATTATTTAGATTGCAGCATGTCTGAAATTATTTCAGTAGGTCCTGTAGCAGGTATCAATAAAGCAAAGATTAACTTAAGTCAAAATTTGAGCAAAGACTTGTTGGAATTCCAGATATCAACGATGTACAACAGTTGTGTGAAGTGTTCAGATAAGCCAGATGAGAAAGATTTTGCCATAGTTCATAGTCATTTGAAAAACATCAATGATGATGTTAGAGTTGAGAACAAATTGACTAAGTTTCAACGTCTACTGGAGTATAAACCTTTGGTTCTAAAAGATGTTCAACTCCTCAGTTGGACTGGCATTCCAAGAGAATACCGACCAATCGTGTGGCGACTGCTTGCTGGATATCTCCCTACTAACATAGAGCAAAGACCAGCTATCATGGAGCAAAAAAGAATCACCTATTTGAACTTGGTGAAGCAATATTTTGCTAAAGACACTATTGATTCTTACCATACCATTTATAAACAGATACAAGTTGATATACCTCGAATGAGTCCAGCAACAGTTTTGTTCCAACAGCAGACAGTGCAAGAAATGTTCCAGAGAATATTGTTTGTTTGGGCAGTCCGTCATCCCGGATCAGGCTATGTGCAAGGCATGAACGATCTTGTGACTCCTTTTTTCATTGTTTTCCTACAAGAGTTTCTACCAGCTGAAGTTGATATAGATACTTTCAAAGTGAACACTCTTTCAAAAGAACAACATGACATTGTGGAGGCTGATTCTTTTTGGTGCTTTTCCAAATTCATCGACGCAATCCAAGACAATTATGTTTTCGCACAAGTAGGAATTCAACGTAGAGTGAACCAGATGAAGGAGCTTGTTCAGAGGGTTGATGAAAATCTTCACAAGCACTTGCTAAATAACGGGGTAGATTATTTGCAGTTTTCTCTACGTTGGATGAACAATATGCTGACTCGTGAGATTCCGCTGCATTGTTCCATCAGGTTGTGGGACACATATCTTGCAGAGTCTGATAGCTTTGCTTCCTTCCACTCGTATGTTTGTGCTGCGTTCCTACTCCTCTGGAAGGAAGAACTCATCCATAAGCAAGATTTTCAAGAGCTGATGATAATGCTGCAAAATCTACCGACTCAAAACTGGACAGACTTGAATATTGAAATGCTTCTCGCCGAAGCTTACAAGCTCAAGTTCTTATTCTCTGATGCTCCTAATCATCTTCAAAGTAACGGATAGGTGCAAATTATTCATTAAATCACAATTTCCTATGTTGTATGTCACATGAGAAATCTCAAGTGCATCTGTGTATGTATGGTAGTAGAAGTTTAACTTTAATTTAGTGTACTTATTACTGTGATAATGTAAATCAATGGACTTCAACTGTGTTTCAATTTAAATCATTTTCTGATTGCTTTGTTTGGCATAAAAACTCAAACCCTTAAAATACCAAACAAATATTCTTTTGATTTTTCTCAATAGTTATGGTGGACACATTTATGTTCACAGATAACACTTTGTATGTTTTGTACGTACCTTCCCTCATCCCGGCTCGGAAGGCTGGTCCATCGTAGTCGACATAATCAACGTAGGTAATCATCTCTATCTCTTGTTCCCTCTTGTAGTGGATTCCATAACTCTAAAATAATATTGATCAATTAGTTTAACACTTGAATCATGAGGCTGTGTACACCAGATGTGAAAGTTCATGTTGTTAAATTAACTTTTGTAAACCAACCAGAATGTTTAACAAAGAAAGCATGATTTTTAAGTGGTTGCATACCTGGACAATGGTCTTATTTGACTGATCTAAATAGGCGAGAGAGGGTTGATTCATATATCCATTTCATGCCATTGCTTGTGTTACTACCATAAATGTTGGTAAAATTTGTGATAAGGTCTACCTACAGACAATTGTTCTTATAAGGTCTACCTACAGACAGTTGTTCTTATAAGGTCTACCTACAGACAATTGTTCTTATAAGGTCTACCTACAGACAATTGTTCATTATAAGGTCTACCTACAGAAAATTTTTCTTAAACACATTCCCTAAACTCGGCACCTGCGCTACACTACACTAGGCAATTCTCCTGAATTTCTTGCAACGTAAAAGATTGTATGGCCGCCATTGAAAAGTATTAAAGTATTAATTTTGTTTACATCATAATTCTGCACCTGAATAGAACAATTTACAAACTTCAACCTTTTTATTTTGCATTACCAGTAACCAATGATATTTGGTTGGTATAAACTGTTGGAGATATTTTTTTGGATGTTGGTGTAGGTACCTGTAGTGTAAATCCGTAAGAACCATTTTTCTTCTCCACAATGATCGTCCTTCTCCTCCGGTCTTCTTCTGGCTTTGTCACCGCAACTCGATCTGGCTTTACCCGTTCCAAGATCTGTGACTGAAACATTAAAAAGTATTATTTAGACTATAAATTTGCACCTTTTGCACTTTATGTTAGTAATTTTTACTTAAAAATCAATAGGAAAAGTTACATAGGATGCATCGTACCGGTAGAGTCAATTGTAGATTGTTAGTTTCCAAACGTTTGTTAATTGGGCATCTAAAAATATGTTTGTAACAAATATTTAAAACAAAAATATGATTGCATTATGACAGGAAGACCAAGAGTATTGTTTTGATAAACAGTCATAAACTATATAACGAACAGTTAAAACTGTGAAACTGTGATAAAGATATTATCCAAAACAAAAGCAAATCTGGTTCAAATGCTTTGACCATTTAATACATAACTTATTATTAAACAAAACATGATACATGATAGTGTTTTGAAACGGATGTTACTGCAAGTTTAACAGGACTACAATACTGTAGTTACTGCTTATGATTTATTATTATACAACTTTTACCACGATCCCTAAACCATCACATTCCACTTTCAAACTGTTGGTTAGTGTTAGGGTGAAAGGGTAAATAAGAAGAAAGTGCAAACTTTCCAAATGGTGGTTAAACATGGATTCTTCATTAGATGGGGAATTGTTGAAATGTGTTAACACAGGTTATAATTTAATGTGTCAGTTAAAAGTACACAGGTACTTTTCAACTACATCACTCTTTTTGTTGGTATTTTAAAAACAGTGCCATTTCGTAAATTTTATCAACATAAGCTATTCTTGGTGTTCAAACAATCATAGGCCTATTCGTTTTTGCACTTTTTAATTCGAAAAACTAAGTGTAGTATTTAGCTAATCTATATTCATTTCTAGTTGTTGTTTTCACGCATATAAGCATGATATATTTTTTCACCATACTGCAGCAAAAACAGCCGTATTTTTCAATATGTATATATTTTGAATAATTTAATATTTCAACATAAGTTACAGATTAAAAAAAATATTCAATGTGTCAAAAGAAAATTGCTTCCCACGCCAAAATGCCACAGTGGCATTTCTGCTACTTCATGAAGTATTAATACACTTGATTGGCACCATGGTAGAGAGTGCTAATACCATCTCGGCACACCAGATAATGATCTGTGCTCATAGGTGAAGGACAGATTTAATAGTGGCGTTTCCAGACTATTTTTATTCTACCATAGAGACAGAGTAGCTGGTTGCTAAAGTGAACCTAAACGGTACATTTAAACGCTGCATGCACGGTAAAAAATAAAAAAAAAAGTTAAATAACTACAATTTAGGGCCTTAAGTGACACTTTTAGAGCCGAGGTCGGAAAATTAGCGAGGGTTGAAAAGAAAATTTTTGCCCGTGAGATGAACTATATTTTTTGTCATACATTTTTTCAACAAAAAACTATGGTACAAAACTAAAACAGTGTTCATTTTTTAGATAAAATCTCAACACTACTTCTAACTTTTTTTTTCAATTTAATTTTCTAATGGAAACAAGCAGCTCTATAGTGATTCAATCGTTTTGTCAATAATTACGATTGTTTAGTGTACATTGTACTATCAATATGTCAAACTGTTTACAATAAGGCATTAATTACAATTGATCAAACAATCGGTAAATACTTTCGATACATGTAATTGTTTACAATTGAAATTTACAACTGAGTTGACAACTGTTGACAGCAGCTGATTTTTACTCCATAGGGGCTAAAAACGTTTTTTACTCCCTAGACAGTAAACATACTACTTTAGACTCACAAAGCATGCATTAAAAACTACGGTACTGTTTTTGCTGCAGTATGACAAAAATTGTTTAAGAAATGTACAATTTTGTATAAAAATGCTTGATTTTGAGCAGTTAATTTCAACTTTCATAAATTAATGTATTACGGACCTGAAAAGTTGTTTTAGGAGTTTAATTAATTCATTTGTCTGTGCATAGTTGTCTAGAGGGGGAAACTACACTATTGATTTATGTTTTCATTAAATTTTGTGTTTCTATGGTGGAACTATGATTTTCTTATCATCATTTTTTTAATTCTTTTTACAAGAATTCTAATCCTATCAAACTTTTAAACCAGAAATTCAAAATCGGTGTATTGCTTGAACAACCTTGTTGGTAAAAACTCAATTAACCTAAAACGTCTTCGCCCTAGGCAAAATATTATCTGATACTATCTGAGCGTTTACAAGGCTTTAAAAATTACACATATTACATTTTGTTTTAGAATGTGAACATTTTTAAAAGGCTCATAAATTTCCATCCATATCTGCAAGATGTACCTGAGGTACTAGTCGGGTTTGCAACACTGTTTCTGCTAATGACTCCATTGTTTTTCAACAGTTGACAGCATTTAGTCGTTTAACATGAATATTTACATTCTCAAAGTATGACTAGCTAGGTTCTATGGTCGAACGGTCATTTGTGTGTCAGTATACAAAATTAAACAATTCTATCTTCAATAAGTTAAAAACAAGTTAATCCAATTGTCCTACAACTCAAAGTCATTAGAGTTAGTATATAATAGTTGTGTGTGTATAGAACCTGATTAAATGCAAACTGACTATTAATCGAGGCAGGTGTGGCATGTAAGATGTAACAGCATCGCATACGTAACTATGTACTTTCCCTGATCAGCCAGGCAGGCCCAGGTTATGGCAAGAATTATTAGTACTGATACATTACAAATATGTCACAAAATAAGAAGATACAAAATTAAAATAGAGTAAAGATTCAGCATGCTGAAAATCACAAGTAGATTTATATGGTGGTTTATATCAAAGCTAAAGTCATATCCTGTTGACAGTCAGATCCTTTTGGTAATGACTTATCTATCTTACTTTGTTTAAAATACATACAGATTGACTCAACTTTTCCCGGCTTTCTAACAATATTTATTGTACTATATGCACCTAGATGTGAATTCTACAGACCATTTTGGTCATATAGACATCACCAAAACTAGACTTTCTGAAAATACAAAAAGTACTGTATAGCTTATTTGAACCTTTTATTTAGCAATGAAAGTGCTCCAGATCAATCAAAATAATAGTCTCTACACTTTCTACAATATTTAAAATTCAAAGTGTATTTAATGCTTCAATGCTTGGAAGTATTAGCTATTTACCTTACAAGTGTAGTAAGAGCGTTTTTACATCACGCAGGTGAATGTTGTGGTGCAACGAGCGGAAGCGAGTTGCATAATTTACCTAAGTGATGTAAACACGCTCTTGCGTAACGTGTAACGTACAAGATTTTACCTGACCCGACAATATTCAGGAGGTTACGAGCAACATGCTTCATTATCAATTTCACTCATCTTCTAACAGTAACGTTTATTTATAAACAAAAGCTAGGTTAGGAAAATTCTTCAAAAGCATAACAATAAAATTCAAACACACAGCTGCTTTCTAGCGTTGAATGTCGTTGGCTCCATAGAGGTATATTTTTTAAGTTATCCACTCAATGTTATTTAAATGGGTTTCATTACATCACCGAGTGAGTTTTTTTCCAACTTTACATCACTCGAGAAGTAAGGAAGTTGTATACATCACGCTTGGGATAGGGAAGTTTAACATGGCGGGTTAGGTAAAATTAATTAATACAATTTAAACAAGGCAATAAAATTAATTGTATCAATAAATTGCAATCCCAATATTCAATCATTGTGGAAAGGCAGCTACAGCAGAACAGCAATTAATTGTCAAGATAAACAGCTGATTCAATAGTAAATCAGGTGTGTAAGGTCAAAACTCAAGGTTAAGCCTGTTTAACTGAAGATCTGAGGTTCATGGTTAGACTATGACTTCCATTAGGAAACACCATTAGGTGTGTTATCGTTATCTGTTATGTTAACAAGCTAGTCTAGAGGTTATGATGGACATTCTGAACAGTGGCTTGAATTCCATCTAAAAACATCAAATGACTTAAATTGTATCCCACTTTTGTGCCAAGTTAGATGACCAAGATCAAAGTGTTTATTTCAGATGTTGGGAAATTTGACACTGGCTTCTAGCCAGTGTGTTCTGTTCTAGGCCAAAAACTAATGCGAAAGGCTTGTTGACTATGATTCAGGTGGGAATATTGTCTTAAGGCTCCTTTAGTTTAATAAATATTTTACATTTTAACATTTAATACTTTATGGATGATGAACGGATAAAATTATAAAGAATACGAGCTTAATATTGTACAAAGAAAATCATTATTGATATACATAAAGAAAAAAATTACTTTTCTATTATACTGACCACACCAAGTTTTTTTTTCTTTTACGTCCACCACACCCGGTTTTGTTAGGATAGGTTATTTGTACATTTAAAAATACAGTACACTTGCTTTAATTTAAAATGTGTGTTCACTTAACTTAAACATATAGCAATGGTATGGACGGGATAGCAGAAAAGTACCAGAGAAAGTGTTGAGATCCCATGACAGGTTTATTAGACTTCAAAATATTGTCTCATAAAAGTACAAAATTGTAAGAATTATGGGTAGTAGTAGTGTGTTTTGGATTTTCTCATGGGACAATTTTTGTATTTTCGTACCAACAATTCTATTAGGTTGGACCAATGTGTATTTTGCTCAATGTTTTTGCCCAATATTTGTTTGGGAACTTCAATTTCCTTGTATTGGATTGACCCAAATTGAATGACACAATTATAAATAAAGTAACTAACAATAGAATAACTAAGATCCGCTTCTGTAGGTTTGCTGGGACGAGGAGATTAGGTTAAAAACGTGACTATTTTAGCACCAATTTTGCTAATTATTTTATTTATTTTAATTGTTATTTTTCAATATATTACACAATTCATAAATACACGCGTAAACAATACTAGACTAGCCTATTCGTTGACACTAACGACTGTACAACAAACACATCACAACGATGGAATTGCCCAACATCCTATTGTGTTTTCCGCAAGTAGCTTGTTTTGAACAGCGATTACTATCAGTTTCTATGGCAACGCAACAATGAACCCCGGCAGAGACAGTTCCGGTTGCAGAAGCATTTCCGACGGCAATAATGCTGCCAAGGCCACCACGATTGTGGAAGTGGAAAAATTCAACTGGATCAGTAAGGTAGTGGTTTGTAATTTACCTACGGTAAATCAGTAAGGCATTGATTTGTTTTTGAATTGTCTACGGTAAATCAGTGAGACGGTTTCATTATGGTGTTTCCAATAGTTGCAAGCAAGGGGCTTGGCAAAGGATTTACGACATTTTGTTATTCCATAAACTAATTTATGCATGAAACTTAACTGACTCGTTTCTTGATTAGACAGGAGATGGGGATTATTTAATTAGTTTCTCTCAATTGCTTTCACTTGTCAATGAGTTGTTTTTGTGCAAATGAGAAAAATTGTTCCTTTCACTTTGATTTAAAAGTTGCCATCCAAAATACACTCTATACAAAAAAATCTATACTCTCGATGGGCTACATTAGATTATTTGCAATTTGCAATCAAAGTTTTCAAATGAGAAAAAAGCTGTAGAGCTGCTGCTGTCCTCGATTTCAACTTTTTATAATAGAGATAAAGAGGAAATTTACTAAGTTGCAAAGGGTACCCAAATGGTAACCTTATAGATCTTTCCATACTGTATTAAGATTATTTTATTTAATCCGGACTTTCATCAATCAGTCAGATTCTGAACCCTTATTACCACAGTACATTGCCATTGCGGTATTCCTATTCCTGGGGTAGCCTAGGTAGATCTGGGGATTATCTGACGATGTCATTATAAGGTTAACCTCGCTACGCAAGCGCAGCTCTGTTTGCGTGTAGCCGCGCCGTTCTCACAATTACCAACAACTGACGTAAGATTGACCCAGTTGTCACCTGGTACACCAACAGCAGGTGAGTCATGTGGTCGGGTAATCAGCTGTGTAAACATCAGCTCAACAGCTGTTTAGATCCCAGGTCACGTGATTGTTGACGTTATTGTTACAAACAGCTGTTGTCTCATCACACCTGTTGGTAACGATGTACCTTTTTAGTTAAACAGATATAGGGAAAATGGTTGGTGGTATAAATGTGTTTAAACTACGCAATCCTTTAAATATATATTTAATTTGAGAATATGAAAATTGTAATTACAGTTTTTATTTCATCCTTAATTTATATATATTTTATATGTGGATGGGTAAAGTTAAAATTTAAAAAGGTTGTAAAAGCTTTAGTTGATGGATTTCCAAAACGTTTGAAGTAATCAGCTGCAAGTAATTTTTAAGAAGGCGCTAAAATGAGTCAAGAAAGCAGAGTATTTTTTAGTAACATTTACATACATTACAGATTTAAATAGCTTGATTTAGATTCTTGTTTTGTATATGACTGTAGTTTGACCCACTCGACTGGAATATCTTTAGGATCTGCACTGTAGCAAATTACCCCCCCCCCCCCCCCCAAATAGCTACATTTTGAAAGTTTTTTTTGTTTGTTTAGGTATATACAGTTGATGTTTTAAATCACTGAAAATAAGTGGTTATAGAAAATCATGAAGTGAACAAATATAACAGGTACGGTAGTTGTTTAAATTTATGGCCTGCTCATAAATTAAACTACTGTACTTATATTTTTCGCTATTAACATGCATTTTCACGCGTAAAAATCACAAACCTATTTATATAAGTATATAATCTTGTCAAACTTCAGTTTCACCAGAGAATGAATGTCACACACGTAATGGCGTGTGTTAAGAGTGAAAGTGTTAACCAACACAGATTTTTCCAATCTGGGATCGATCGGTTCACGTAAGGTTTCCCGTCTAGACGGTCTGCTACTGCTGGTGTTTCCACTTAAACAACGAAGGTTTCCCACATTATCGCAATAATCCCACTTTCTTCCGTAGTTCACTTTTAGAACTCCCTTTCTATCCCATACAACAGGAAAATGTAAAAATTCAATGGTTAGTAGAAACCCATAATGTTTACATTGTAGTTAATACTCAATTGTAGCCAAATTATTTTTTTCTACACTGTATAGGTCAACGTGCTAAAAATATAAAGCTGTTATACCTAATCCTATTCTTTTATTTTTTTGTTACTTTGTCGCGAATATCACATCCTAATATCACAGACAATGGAATAAGTAGTTATTCCCTTGTCTCTGGTAAGTAAATGTATCTTTACAATTCCTTAATTAAAATTCTTACCACAGATCCCCCTATATTTAGGGATCTTGAAAGCAAAACCACGTCATTCAAGTAGTTTTAAAACTTGTTTCTGAGGTATGCAAAACTCACTTATACTCGATTCCTATTCGATAAATTATCCGACCTAATCCCTAGTCAGGCTCTGAAATCCCTACAACTTGAAACTGAGATTACCCACTAGCGTTGCGTTGGCGGTGGAACAGAGGAATAGGAAAGCATGGAAATGCAATTTGAAAATGGTCTCGGAACAGAGGAAACGGGCCAAGAGCGTAGCGTGGCTTACGCTTGATTTGAAAGTCACAATAATTTACCTTGACGGGCCTAACCTTCCGTGGACATTGGCTGTAAAGCTGCCTTGGCGATCTGGTTATTGTACAAACTGGACAAGTGTTTCAAGGCCAATTTGTATGTTTGGGAGAGACAGACCGTCGATTATGTCAATTTAGTTGTCAAAAGAGTATGTCAAAATGTTATTTAAGTTTTGCTAGTTGTCGACCACATTCAAATTCCGTAACACTCGAATTTACAAAATTAATTATTTTCTTATGTCTAAAAAAAAGACATATGTGAATGCAAATATTCACATGACTCGTCAAAACATAAAAAATAACTTTACGTTGAATCACATGATAATGTTTGACATTTCCAATGGTGTTTTCTAGCCTCCGCACAGCTTAGAAACTATAAACAGAATTATCACTTGAGGTGTTATCAATTCTACTACATCATTTTCTCATCTCGTAGATTAGATAATTTGTAATTAGCGTGGCCTGTAAATAATATCTATTTTCAGAGCGAAACCATGTCAAGAGTAAAAGCACCCTAATTCCAACGCGGTCATTTGGTTATTAGGGTGCGCAATTGTTATGCCGTGCGACGTGCGCGTGACAGAGTGCGCAAGCGTAAACATTGCGTCGAACAAGCAATGCGCGATGTAAGTAACAGTATTGCGCAGATATGAGTGACAGCACTGCGCAAATGTGAGTGACAGCACTACGCAAATGTGACAGTACTGCGCAAGTCGTATGAACGACAGCTTTCGCTGCTGTCGATATGGCGAGCGAGGGACTGGCTGAAAGAAAGTGGACGTTTGAAGGCAATTATCTGCAATTGTTTGAGGAAGTCGAAGGGAAATCAGCTATGCTTCTGACCGTGCATGTAAAATTATACAGCGTTTTCCTAGACGATGCATTAGTGGTTGTTAACCAGCTGCTAGCTTATATTGTTGGGTAACTAATGTGGGATTCATGCAGAATTGTTTTAAGAGGTTGGCGACATTTTTAAACCTTGCACTTGCCAGTCAAAACAACTGTGCGCAGGATCCCAATTCCCAACCTTCGACATCGCCGCCTTGGGCCTCCGTGATGCTACATGATGCTACCGCGGAGTACCGACTCACCAACTTTACTACTACCTATTTATCTATATCGAGCAACTAGTTGTAGATGAGTTTTCTTTGTTGATGTATTCCAAATTATATTCTATCATAATACTATGATATTTCTGTCCATTACTGTAAATGTAAGTCACAGAACCCTTAGCGAATAAGTGCGTCATTATTCGTAAATCGTAAATTTAGGTAGCCGAAGGTCTAGAAATCGGTTTATTAGCATTATAACCTAACTTTTAACTTAATTTTAGAACAAAACTGAGTTTTTTTCTAATTTTTAACTGGTAACAGCTTCCAGTATACAGATTAATCAGCAAGGCATTCCAATGTTGTGTTGGCCACCTGTAGTCAAGGACAATAGCTAGAGTGAACGGTGTAGATTGTCTATCTACTACTATCACATAACCTACAATCTACGCTGAAGTAGATCCGGGAGGGTAAATCAGTAGATGGGAGGTAACTCAATAACAGTTGGTATATTATTTTAGATTTTATTTTTTTATCATGGATAATATAATCATAATTGCAACCGTAATTCGCTTTTATGCCGCAACGAGAACTCCTCACTGGTTTCATTTGTGAACAGAATGATGCAAATTGCAGCTCTGTAACTGTCATGTGTGCTTATTTTTATTTGTTTAACCCATCAAATCTTCCGCCGCGTCCGAGGTTAAGTTAATGATACATATATTTTTTTTATTACGCAAACATATCCGATACCGATATTCATCGCCAGTAACACCGCGCTAATGGTATTTGGGGAAAATTGGTAACATAATTAATTTTCACCCAGAATGTATTAATGTTGAATTCGTTCCAAATGTTGATAAAATATGTTGAAACTAAAATTCAACTACAGCAAAATGTTTTGATTACAAGTATTTATTATTTGTAAATGTTTAAATTAAAGTCATTGACGTTGTGTGTAAAATTTAACTATCAATATTAATTATAAATGTAAGGCTAGTGTTCGTTGTCATACAGTGAACGTTGACTGTGATGAGTAAAATTGAGACATCACTGTGTACGTAGTTGATTACGTTTGTACAGTTATATAACGTAGCCTTGGTACGAACATTATTACACTGCGATAGAGCCACATAGTTAGTAGTGTTTGCATAATTTTAGGCGGGAGAAAACAATTAAACGGCAACATTGCAGGCACTGAGGCCTACTATAGGTTAGGTTTAGGTTTAGAACATCTACTTTCCCGCCAAACAGAGCAGTAAACAAGATGGCCGTGGATAACCAAACCTTACAATTAATTACAACTGAAATTAGGCTGAAAGTTCGTTTTGCTAAAAACTAGCTCACTGTTTTGATAACATAATGAACGTACTGTAATGAGAACAAAAAAAATTTGAACACGTATTTCACATTTTGTTTGTGACTTTTGGCGGAATAATTATGGTACGGCGTTTGTAGGAAATTTGAGACATTTTCACTATATTGCAGGTTTGATTGAAGTTGAGGTTTTCCTTCATGTCTTATAAATGTATATCGTACCTTATAAATAAGAACTAATTTTTTTACAATTGTTTGATCTTTTAAACTTTATACCTTTCATTGTGTGTTTAAAAAGTAAAAACAATTCGCACACATGAGTAAAATTTTACAATATGGTGGGGTTGGTATGACCATTGCCTATAAACAATTATATAACAGATATAGCCAATCACTCAAATATTTTACATCGTTTAAACATAGGTACACTCATGGTTACAGATTTGATTTCAAATTTTAGTATTTTTGAGCTCAATTGGTCCATGGAGAGTGTGGCATTATTTATCAAATGTTCGGCAATTTTCTAACATGATATTACAAAATTACAATAATTTTAAAATAATATTTTGTTATATGAATGTTAATTATTATATTATAAGTTTTTGTTATCTATAATATTATTTAAAAAAATTTGATTTTTATGTGGAGCAAATCAACCCCTAAATATTTGTTTTTACAGGCATATTAGATATCAATTTAAAGCTCTTATCCTCTAGATGTGTCTTGTGTGTGTTTGGGTGATATCCCGTGAAAGCCCTTCGTCCTATAGGCATTTAAAATTTCAAAGAATGTGCTGAATTCTGTTGTCACTCATCTGAACCTTTTTCAAATTTTAATTTGTTTACTTCAAAACAGATGGCCATGATACAATTTTGTTTACATTACGAAAATGGGGTTAGTAGTTAGGGTAGGGCCTAGTTAGTGATGTTTCAGTGAATTGAAGTAAAATATCGTAATGCTATTTGTTTAAAATGTAAAGATGAAAATGAATAGTTTTCACCTTTATCATGTCTTATTAATGTACATCGTACCTTATATTATCAAATATATCACGGATTTTGAAGTCACGAAGTGACGCAGGTTACTAGTATTTTGTTAATGTTACTTTGGTGTTTTACTACCCGATTTCATTATTTTAGGCTGATTTTAACTATTTAACAGACGAAACTGTTATCTTTTATCAATCAACAATCAAATATTACAAATAATACTACATAAAATATTGTGTCAATAGATCGTCGCGACCTCGACTCCTGACTTCCCCAATTATGGTGCGAAGTTTGAAGCTAACAGTTTTCCTGTAGAAATGTCTATATTATATTAAGCAATATTGCAGATAACTACAATAGTCTTTAGAATATGGAATTTTGTGGTCTGGCCGATTGCTGGATTGCAATCAAATCGTCAGTAAATTCAAATACCACTGGTACAACTGGTAAAAGTGAGTATAACCACCAAACCACACTACTACTGTAGTAATATATGTACTGCCACTCACCACTCATAGTAAAAGTCGCATAGCATTCCCTGAAAACGAAAACTATAACAAATATGTTCTACTTCAAAGTGTATCTTTATCCAAATAACTAAGGGCGTTGAACGGGAAATGTTTCAAAGAAGAAACGAGTGAAATCCTATCATAGGTTGATGTGTCTTTTCTAACATACTGTATGATTTAAAAATACCATATGTTATGTTAATAAGTTAACTTTGTTTTTGTTGGCAATCATTGTTATTTAGGATTCATTTCAGAATACACCTATTTTATTTTACACATCTTTTATTTAATATGTAACATAGGTAATAAACGGTGTGTAAGAAGTAGCAAGAGGAGAAATAAAATGATCCTTAGATTAAAAGGATTTCCTATGACATGTTCACATTCACATCGGTTTATCGGATCTTAAAATAAAATATTAATATATAGATTAATAGC